AAAAGATTATTAGCGTATTGAGGGTAAAATCCTTTCTTTACAATGATGGAAAACTTGTCAATACAATTTTCGAGTAAGTGCGCTGTAACTGACTCTACCAAACAATTATAATTTCGAGAATAAGATGGCTGTTAAACCGAAAATGACCATGCTGAATGACTGGCTAGCATAGAGATTGTTGCATGAGAATTCAAGCATACTAGCTGCCTCAGACTCGGTCAAAGTTGAAAGCTTAACAGACTAGTCAATGGACATTATCGTTAACATGTTATATACACCATATAGTCGCCTTAGGGGTATAGCTATTGTTGTCACAAAAACATTCTTTTAGTAAACTGAAGCCTAGTAAGTCAGAGTATTGATGGTCTACACTTCTCATTCATTGTCACCCCTAGCTTACAGTACCCCTAGGGATCTATTGAGCATGTCAACTTACCAATAAATTGGAAGGATGTTGCTATTAGTCCTAGTTTTAAGAATGGGTAGAAACAGCTCGTATCGAGCTGTCAGCCTACCAGGTTGAAAAGTATAACACTAGGAAAAGTAATCAAATTACTTAATCACCGACAGTCCTATAATCTGTTGACCTCAGAATAAGAGGTTTTTAAACAGACATTTCACCTTAACCTAATAATTGGGAGAGGATTGAGAAGCAGCTTAAAATAGAGATCTACCTGTCAATGTAATTTTCATAGACCTCAGAGAGGCCTTCAACAAGATGCATTGTCCCAGACAGGGATATAAGAGTATGCTATAAACCTTATCTGAAGTTGGAAACATAATAAGAGTGAATATAGAGATATCTAGAAGCGAGAACTCGTAAAAAGTGGGATGTTTTTAGACACGATTCAAAGTCTCCCTGTTATTTCTACTCCACCGATGAACTGTCGAAATACACATTTGCAGATGGTATAGAAGTTTGAAGAACGATAATTAGCGAAGCTGATAAACTTGTTTGAAAATTAAGTTTACAAAGTGTACTGAGTCAAAGCACTTCAAAAACCTCTCCTTGTTGCAAAGCCATTTAATATTACCATTTTTTATTTGAAATAATGATTTGGGAGCTGGAGTAACTTACTGCCCTCTTTAGAATTAATCATCTTCGAGACTATAACGAAAATGTTCAAAAACTGTAATCGAACCAGCCCAGGGTGGGATTTCATTTTTCTTGGCAAGTGATCAACGACCGAAATGCCCTAACCAGGCAAATGGTATAATTTTCAACGGTGAATAGTTCTAAAAATAAACAGGACCTTCAGTCAGCTACAACGTAGGACCACGCACATATATACATCGGTTCAAGTTGCCATACGTCATTAGCACAACAAGATGAACATCAAATTCATAGTAGTTAATTCAATGGTGGTAATATATAAAAGAAAGATTGTGTATAAGGATATAGAACAGGAATAAAGAATTAGTTGGTAGGAAGAAAAATACAAAGCAATTTTAATCTCATAGTTTGAGAGAAGAATAAGAGTGTATACACCTACGCCATTGTGATCGATTCTGAGCCATGTCACTCAGTCTCCATTGGTTATGATAGTCAAGCGGACACCAACCAAGTAGTATGCATCTACCAACATGGCTAAGACTAGACGTATTACACATGCCCAACCACCGTCTACCACGAGGCGCAGTGCTGACTAGGGTTGGAGACAGATGGGAGGTTAGGGGCGGCCGAACCAAAACGTGACATCAGTCCACAAAGTCAATAACTTCTGGTCTGAGTCATGATGTTGGATGCAGAGTACTCGGTTGGGGTCCGCGCGACTAACGTAACTAGTGGTTGAATAGTCTGGGTGATATGACTCAGAATCGATCACATTGGCGTAGGTGTATACACTCTTTGTCTTTCCTTAAACCGTGGGATTAAAATTTTCTTTTAACTTCTTTTCCACGAAATAATTTCTTCTCTGTATTATATCCATAAATGCGATCTTTGTTTTAATACATTACTATAATTGAAGTAACTGCTTCTATGAATTGCTGTTCATCTTGTTAAGCTAATGAGGTATGGCAACTTGGACCGACGCATATATGTGCCTGGTTTTACGTTGTAGCTAACTGGCTGTTAACCAGAAAAAATCATTTAAACATCGTCCAGGAAGTTGAGGGGTTTTCATTCAGAAGAAATATGATGCTTTGTCTCGTACAACTTTCTTAAAAAGTATCCGAGGAATCGACCCTCTTAAACTCGCCCATATTCGTAAAGAATACAGTGATTTTCAGCACGAGTTAAATTTGACAACCCTGAGATTAACTCCTCCTGAAGCTCATCCAGGGTAACTGCCGGCTCTAAGCCAGGGGAAAGGAGGAGCGTTGGGTGTTGGGTGAACAACCTCACTAAAAAAACTACAAAAAGAAAAACAATTTAAACTATGCAAAATATGCCCTCATGGTAAAAGTTGATATTCTTTGAAAGACGGAAGGACGACGCCCTTTCTGACAACCAGAACAACAATGAACATAAGCACATGGAATGTCCCCACAATATGAGAGACCGGGAAAACCATTCAAGCAGAAGCATGAATGAAAAGATACAACCTAGAAGTGCTTGGAACAAGTGAAACCCATCTGACCCAAGTTGGACAGGAAAGATTAGCTTCGGAAGAAATGCCGCTGTACTCTGGTCACGAAGAAAATGCTCTACACACATAGGGAGTTGACCTGATGCTATCCAAAGAAGCATGAAAAGCACTTATAGGATGGAAATCTTATGAACCCAGGATCATCAAAGCATGGATAGGGAGAAAGGAACCAGATTCACAGCATTATAAAGGTTCAAAAACAGCCTGCCTTCAAGATACTGGTAAACTCAGCGAATTCAAGATAGCTCTCAACAACAGGTTCCAAGCCTTACAAGATTTACTCAAAGAGGAAGAGACTACTATGGGGGACAACTGGAAAGGGATCAAAGAAGTACTAACTTCCACGTGTCAGGAAGTTCTGGGCTGCAAGAAACATCACCATATGGAATGGATCTCTATCGAAACCCAAGGCAGTATTCAAGAAAGGGAGAACAAGAAGATAGCAATTAACAACAGCCGAACGAGAACAGAGAAAGTCATGGCACAAGCTGAATACACAGAAGCAAACAAGAGAGTGAAGAGAAGCATTAGAACAGACAAGCAGAAATATGTGGAACACTTAGAAACGACAGCGGAGAAAGCTACGACAGAAGGAAATATGAAACAACTATGTGACACAACGAAGAAACTGTCAAGGAACTATAGTAAACTACAGAGACCAAGGAGGAACAAAAAAGGGAAGAGAATCACTGAGATTCGAGAACAGATGGGTAGAATACTTCGAGGGACTCTTGAATAGGCCAGCCACACTGAACCCACCGGACATCGAAGCAGCACACACGGATCTCCCTAGAGATGTCATCCCAACAACGATCGAAGAAATGAGGATGACCATCAGTCAAATCAAGAGTAGGGAAGCAGCAGGACTTGACAACATACCAGCTGAAGTACTGAAGTCAGACGTAGAAGCAACTGTAAAGATGCTCCACGTTCTATTCAGAAAGATTTGGGACTAAGAGCAAGTGTCGACAGACCGGAAAGAAGGATACCGCATCACACAGTCCAAATTGTGAGACTACGGATCATTTTTGATCAGCAATTGGATGGAAATCATCACTATACATCAACTTCCCTGACTATGAGGAAGTGGTTGAAGCGCCGATAGGGGGACGTCATACAACCCTCTTCGACACTGTGGTGTACTTGACAAGATCTTCACCACCATATGGAATTCTTACGACGGCTACACTACAAAGTGGTGCATGAAGGACAACTCACAGATTCATTGTAAGTGAAGATCGGTATTAGACAAGGTTGCTTGCTTGCTCTCGCCTTTTCTCTTTCATCTGGTGGTTGACTGGATTAAGAAGACTTCCACATTTGAGAGAAAGCATAGAAACTTCGGACGCAACTAAACAATCTAGACTTTGTGGATCACTTAAATCTTCTAGCCCGTACACAGAAACGAATGCAGGTGAAGGCGAACAGTGTAGTAGCAGCCTCTGGGGCAATAGGCCTCAACATCCACAAGGCAAGAAGATCCTGAAATAGAACACAACGAGCACCAGCCAAACCACAATTGGTGGAGATGCTCTGGAAGATGTGGAAACTTTTAACATACCTGGGAGCGTTATTGATAAACAAGGGGTATCTGATGCAGATATGAAAGCATGGATTGGCAAAGCAAGCGGAGCATTCCTACGACTGAAGAACACATGGAACTCGAAACAACTGTCAACCAATATCAAACTCAGAATCTTCAGTACGAACGTCAAGACAGTTAGTTATATTGTACGGAGCTGAAACTCAGAGAACTACCACAACCATCATCAAAATGGTACACTTATTTATAAACAATTGTCTACGTAAAATACTCAATGTATGTTGGCCGAATACCATCAGCAACAACCTACTGTGACAGAGGACAAACCAGCTTCCAACTGATGAGGAAATTAGGAAAACACGTTGGAAGTGTGTAGGACATTGGAGAATACTGGTTGGAGGCTTATGCTCTACAAGTTGTAACAGGTGTAAATAAGTAACGGGTCACTTTGCCTACTATAGCTTTGTCAGCTCCAAGTGTTACCAATTTTTTGAATTCAGTCATTCACTTATAATCAGCATACCTCTAGCAAAAATCTGTTTGTGATATCAAATTTAATCGTAGTTCATAGTCAAAAATATAACATATGATATTTCAGTTTCTTTTATGAGAATGCTAGCAACTAAAATGATATTAATACTCGTCGAGTTGTTGCAAACACACTTTGGAAGGTGAAAATCTCTCAGATTTCAGAGCATTACAGAAAGTATGAAACTGACTAGAAAGTGATGTGTGAAGTATTGCCATACTATACTACTTATCATTATTTATACTCAAAGTTCTTATTATTAACACACAAAGTCCATATGAGAATTCCATAAAATAATTTGAATGAATTATTTGGCGAAGGATAGGAAATTACTTACATATCCGAGGTATTCTTTAGTTCACAAGATACATCACTAGTTGTGTTCTTCTGAACATTAGAATAATGAACGTTGCCATAAGTCGTTCTACAGGCTGGTATCAGTGCTTGTTTGCGACGTGTGCGACTAGTTGTTGTGGTCAAGTTTTCTGAGGGTCCAATAAAATTGAAGGTCTTTGAACTAATCCTTGGAGAAGGTTGATTATCACCATTCACGGGTGAACAACTATTTCCAGACCCGTATGAATCCAGTTTAAGGGAAGACACGTAGTTTGCATAAGTATTACTCTTTTCATAAGCCATGAAACACTGTTCTATTTGGACGCAAATAGATGTGCTTGGAAATCGAAGAACGCACCTTTCAAGGAAATAACGAAATATATGAATATATATAAGATTGGTGTTAGTACACACACCAGTTTATAGGTAATATAAACTCACATTTTTGTTGGGGATACCGATAACTTTGGCCTCATCTAATAAAACTACTTTCTGTGTAATCTAAGTACGCTAGGTGGATTATCATTTAAGAGAAATAAGGGAAGAAAATTTGCTACCTGAAGAGGACATCAACGAGAGTTAAAAAGAGAATTGAGAATGATGAAAATTTTCAGTCTTGTTATTTGAAACTAACCCTCGTATACACATTTATACAACTAGGGGAGTTAACCTCAAATAACCGCCGAGTACCCTGGTACGACCAAGGGTGGAGAGTCACCTCTCTCCCTTGAGATGGGGAACATGGGGTCGATGATCATAAGAAAACGGATGGGGTTCACATCTATTTTGATTACAGGTTACCATTCGACTGGATCTTCTGACATTATTTCACTCTCTTGTACATTAGAACTTTATAAAGAATACATTTACTTTATTACACATTAACTTTCTACCTTATTTAAATTTATTGTTGCTTATACATTTAATTTTAGCTTGAACCCATTTAGCGGCTTGTCAGTATTGAAAGCTCTGGGCTGCCTATAGGTTATCAAATCTGTCCCTAGATGGTTTTCAACGTTTTCACTTTGAAACACGAATTTCAGCGAAGGGATCTCTTTTCAACGAATTTATTATCAAGCTGTACAATCGTATATATATGAAAATTTTGTTTTTGTAAAAGTACTAATTCCGTGAGGAAATGTGAACACAGTTAATATAAAGGTTATAATACTAGATTACGTAATATGAATAATAACAATAACAATAGACTTAGTGATTATAATAAGATGATTAAAATGTTTTTGATATAATAATTAAAGGTCATAGAGGTGTACAAAAATCAACTGATATGATGAGCGTTCATGAATAAAACAATGAGAATATAAGACATAAGTAAAGGGGGAATGCAGTAATAATAATAATAATAATAATAATAACATTAATAGTAGGATAATCAAACTAATTAAGGCCAAGGTAACGATAACGATAAGACGTACTTCTTTTGTACGCATAGTTCTGGTTTAAGCTCCTGGATGGCAAGAGCTTCAGCTATTTTTAAAAGTTGGATACGAAGAAATCTGGGTAGATTTGAACGAATCATATAAACAACCTTAAAGTCAATTTGTGGATCTGTTGAATGGTTATAGTCGATTAGGTGTTCAAGTATAGAACTCCTAACTGCTTTCCTTTCACCCTTATAGAACCGCAAAGAATATTTGGATAAAATGAAGTTAATTCTAGAGGATGGTACTAAATTCTCCAAACCTAAAGAAGTTGATAAAACATTACAAATCGAAAAACAGCTAACAGATGTTGTTAAAAATCTTAAGAATAAGGGGATAATAACCCAAGATTTATATAATCACATGCGTCCCATGGGTTCAGTCATCCCGCGCTTATATGGACTACCGAAAATACATAAGCTGGGTTTACCGTTACGACCTATTTTGGACATGTCAAGTTCTCCATACCACAGAATCGCCAAATGGTTAGCGGAAAAATTGGAACCGGTTAGAAGGCAAGTATGTAAACATTCTATTCATGATACTTTTCAATTTATTGATCGTATTAAGGACGTTAATACTTCCGAAAAACACATGTTCTCGCTTGACGTTAATTCTTTGTTCACTAGCGTACCTTTAACCGAAACAATATGTTATATATGTGAGTATATTGATTCTAACAATATAGATCTAGGTTTGCCAACTGAACACTTGAAAGAATTATTGTTACGCTGTACTTTTAATGTCCAGTTCAGTTTCAATAATGAAATATATAGACAAAGGGATGGGATCGCAATGGGGTCTCCATTGGGTCCAATTTTAGCAGACTGTTTCATGGCAAAAGTAGAAAACGACCAACTCCGTTCAATGATCAATCGATTCCACCTATACGTGAGATACATGGACGACACGTTTGTTGTTTGTGACAATAATATTGATTTAGATGATATTCTACACACCTTTAACTCGTGCCACCCTTCCATAGACTTCACGTTAGAAAGGGAACAAGACCAATCAATTCCTTTTCTCGATGTACGTCTGATGAGAAAGAGTAATGGTTCTTTAAAAAGATCCATCTTTAGAAAACAAACATGGAATGGCCAGCTAACCAACTTCTATAGCTGGGTTCCGTTAAGTAGGAAGAGAAACCTTATCCATTCTTTATGCCATCGCATACATCACATATGCAGTACGGAATGCATTAACGAAGAACTCGCATTCCTGAAGAAGACTTTGACGGAAAATGGTTACCCAGAACGGTTCATAGAAAAGAATATGAATAAAAGTAGTCGCGAGAAGAATTCTAGTTGTTCCGTTCCAAAGAAAAACCTTTATATAAGTCTGGAATTTAAAGGTGACCGAACATCGGACGTAATCAAAAACCGTCTAACAACAACTATTAGAAGAACATTTAACGCGGCAAAACTGCGAATATCCTTCACTAGTAGAAACTTATTTTCTGTATCCATAAAAGATAAGCTTCCGCGTCTGGTCGCCTCCATGTGCATCTACCAGTTCACCTGCTCTTGTGGAGCAAGGTACATTGGCCGTAGCCAGCGCTCGCTTTCAACTCGGATACGAGAACATATCCCAGCCTGGTTCTATAAGGGTGAAAGGAAAGCAGTTAGGAGTTCTATACTTGAACACCTAATCGACTATAACCATTCAACAGATCCACAAATTGACTTTAAGGTTGTTTATATGATTCGTTCAAATCTACCCAGATTTCTTCGTATCCAACTTTTAAAAATAGCCGAAGCTCTTGCCATCCAGGAGCTTAAACCAGAACTATGCGTACAAAAGAAGTACGTCTTATCGTTATCGTTACCTTGGCCTTAATTAGTTTGATTATCCTACTATTAATGTTATTATTATTATTATTATTATTATTATTATTACTGCATTCCCCCTTTACTTATGTCTTATATTCTCATTGTTTTATTCATGAACGCTCATCATATCAGTTTATTTTTGTACACCTCTATGACCTTTAATTATTATATCAAAAACATTTTAATCATCTTATTATAATCACTAAATCTATTGTTATTGTTATTATTCATATTACGTAATCTAGTATTATAACCTTTATATTAACTGTGTTCACATTTCCTCACGGAATTAGTACTTTTACAAAAACAAAATTTTCATATATATACGATTGTACAGCTTGATAATAAATTCGTTGAAAAGAGATCCCTTCGCTGAAATTCGTGTTTTAATTTTAATGTTTTCACTTTGATCCAGATAGGACGACAGATGATTTTGTCTAACCTACTAGAAGGCAAAGGTATAGGTATATACTTTATATCTGATACCTGTATTCAAGATCCTAATGAAGTACTACAAAAATGATGATTGGAGAGTGCTAACGTGTCGGAAGATGTGTCTGAATATTGTAACTCCCGGAAACCGTTTTAACTTATTCGAGCTACTGGTGGTAAGAGTGGTGTCAGTGAAACCATTCATAAAGCTGACGGCATGCTAATTAATAACTTCCAAAGTCAACTCGAATGCCAGGCAGAGGACGTTGAGTGACAGCTAGTTTGGCTTCTTTTGTCAGTGAGGCCTATTAGACTATCCTGGGCTCCGTGGCCTGTGACTACTGATTCATCCGATGAAGCAGGTTTCATAAGGAACTTGAACTTCTGAATCATCAAAAGTAACTAGACCGAGACGGACTTCGCACGACCCTTTATAAGAATGATTTGGTAGTTACGACCAGAAAACTGAATACGGTATTTTGAAGGATATACTTATTAGTATGTTTTACAGTACTAGAATAAAGCGATTGTTTCCATTTCTCAAAATGGCCTACGTAATTTATGTAAAAATTATTGGGTTGCAAGTGTGCTCATAACTGCTCCTATACTATTGGCTCGTGAGGAGCAGTCCAGGTTTTGCTTAGATCCTTTTATTTATTTATGTAAACATATCAACACCAAATACATATGCGCCACACTTCAATCGATTTGTGTGAGGGCTGGGATACTGTACGGGTGCCCAAACCGAAACAGCTGATCTTCTTAGGAGGCCACTCTCCAAGCCTATGACGTACAGGTCTAATCCATAAGGCAGTGGATCAACGTTAAGAGATACAGTCCCATGGTAACCGGTGACCGACAATAGGTTAGTACATCCACACATTGTAGGCCAATAATTAGTGTGTTTCTACATATTAGGCCAGGACTGTACCCGGAGATTGTCTATTGAGAAAAGATTTGAGAATTACATTGACATTTTGAGGGCTCTGTACATAAACACTTTAGGGAGAGTGTGGACATAAGGTTAGTGTTCTAAAACAACCCCGAGTTAACTAGGGTCGATCAATCTCTTCACATCCTTTCAATTTCAATTTAGAGGAAGGAAGGATGATACAGAGGCTATCTGAATTGCATTCAATCAGTTTGAAATTAGTGTCCGTAGGTATGGCGATTTTGAAATCTAAAGCACTATCGTAAGATTAGCATGAGTCTGTAACTTTACTTGTTCTTTGTGAACTATTGGAAACAATTGAGGAGTTTGTGCATCAGAGTAGTAAGTGATGGTACTAGTTTGGTAGATGAGATCAATCTACGTATACTGAGAGTTAGAGCGGTTGATCTCAAACTGAGTCATTTTTATCGTCCTTCTGACGTCAATGCGGCTGTAAAATAGCAGGTTTATAATGTATCAGAGAGAGATGTTTCACTTTATACTTTGAAGCCTGGACACTCCCAGTGGAGGATATTTGAACACACTGTGTTCGGTTATTTCTGGCTCCGAAAGACTGCATGCATTTTGTTGGCAACAATATATTAGTATTGCCGAGATTAGGGAACGTATGTTCAGTTGCAGTAATGATAGTTCGATCAGTGTTAACATCAAGAAAAAACGACTTCGTAGACACATATCTCCATAGTTTTACATCCATCAGCTACAAAGAAATTTGGTCAGATGCCTTATGAGCGGAGCAAAACAGACGTCCTCAGAGGATACCACCAAGGAGTTGGGGCCTAATAAAATACTGACAGAAATAGGCTGTTTTTTAATTACATGCATGCAGAGATACATAAGTTGAACCGCTCGTAGGAAACTTTTGTTCTTAAGACTACAATTTAACAGGAATGTGTCTAGAGATTTCCTGCATGATAGATTTGTGAGGGCAGTTAATAGAACATTTTATGCAGCTAGTCTTACTTTGAACAGTAATGTCTACTCAAACGAAAGATGAACTACCTGAGTTTACTTTATCGATATGGATCTACAAATTTAGCTGATTCATTGCAAATACCTAATATTGGGTACACTACTAGCTCGGTTTGAAAAAAGGCATACGAACACGACAAGTAGCTGCATTTTAACATATTTGGTTGACAGTGGTCATATGATAGAGTAAACTAAATCATTTTGAGTGACTTATCGTACACTTTGTCGTTTTGTTATAACTTTTGACCGCCGATTAGAGGGCAGTGACTTATCGATCGGATCAATGACGTGTAAACCCGTATGAGCAGCCTAGAGTCCTGATTGATCCTGCTTCCTGCCTAGCCCAGCCAGTTAAGTCCAGGACACCAATCCGAGCCTCTGCGATATTAATCGTTCTATTTCAAATATACTGAGTTTATATACCAATCAAACAGACCACACCGTACCAATAAAATATGAAACAACATTTGTACAAGAATTAGCCAGATGTGGCTGTGAATGAGGGAGATAGTAATTAATATACTGGGTATAAATCAAGAATGGTAAAACGTATAATAACAGTTTATTGGTCAAAATAAAGCTTATAATAAGAGGAATATGAATGTGCATAGTTTAGTTACTTAATAATTATACAATGGAAATATACGTTTCGTATTGGCCTATCAATAGATCCCAAAAGTTACCATTCATTATTCTTGTCGGGACGTTTACTAATGAGGTTCCACCCCGTGTCCTAAATACAACAGAAACTATAGGCATTCGAACTCATAATTTTTATTTGTCAAGAAACTGGTGAAACTTCTGTCCTTTCCTTGACCTGACATAACTTAAACAATTTTACGATTTTTCTACGTTCCGTATTATTTTGTCGTTCTTCACTACCTGATTATTTACACAAGTTTTTCACGTCATTCTGATACTTTTGTGATTATTATTTTAGTCCATTTATCCATAAGTTTGATCTAATACCTATGTTACCTTGATTAGTTTAATATTTTTATAAATAAATATTCATGCATATTAGAGTAAAGCCTGGTGACGATCTAAATCGAAACAATGTTGTTGGCTTGTGTTGTTCTAATTTATCAATCCATCACAACTAAACTGGAAATCGTTATCACATATGGATTAGAACAAGGCTATAAATCCTTCACATAGGTGAGTATTCATTTCCTCGTTATATTTTTTATTTACGAAGTGCTATATTTTGGTATCTCTCTATACCCGAAATGTCACATATTATCGATGAATAGTTAGATGAGCTTAAGGTGGGAACCATGAACGTGAAGAAACTGTTTATTGCCAACACAATATATGGTTGGAAGACATTTAAGTGGCTGCCAGTTTGAATAAAAATCAAAACAATGAAAACCCAATAGTCTATTTGCAAACACTTACCTTGGTGGGATGGACAGAAACTGGGAACTGTACGGTCGAAAATTTTGGTCAATAAAAATTCCATTCTTGCCTTTGCATTTAAGTTTCAAGCAGTCAGTTTTCCAGATAATTTCTAAATGTTGCCGAGAAACATAAGAAGAACAGCCTATATCAATGTCAACGGGGTACACGGCTGAACCCCGACCTATTGTAATTTGATGTTTTACCATTTCATATGTGGTTTTTCCCGTTGTTAGACGCGCATAAACTGTCGGCATGTTGCGATCCAGGTGGTGCTAGAGAACACTTAAAACTACACCACACGACCAAATAACATATCCATTACACCAGTAGAAACACTAAATTCCAACAAGTATTAAAAGTGAAGAAACTAAGGTAAAGATTATTACACTCAAGCATGAACACCAAATTAATACTAAAAACAAAAAGCACTTCAATTGCTGAAATTCTCGAAGTTTTCTACGACTCAGAAAGTAGGTAAACGTTCATCTATCCGTTTTGTGTGAGGACTAGCGACACTAATCGACTGAGAAAACAAATAAGGTAGAGTAGAGTTCGAATCTAAGTTTCAACAGTTGAAAACTAAGTTCTATCCGTTAACCGGTTGTAATTTTTAGCAGTTAGTTGAGGAGAATGTAGTACCAGACACAAATGTTATACTGCCCAAGTTGTAAAACTTTATATAAAGACAGTGAGGGGAAGCCAATGGGGAAACCAAATGATTTGATATATTGGTGACTGAGGAAAACAAAAAATAGATATGTCGAGTTAGATCACACTACACTATGTTAACAGACTAATCAGGTTTTAGGGAAGTAATTGAACATGTCAACTACTGTAATCATCGGGGAGGTCTACTCAGTCCTGATGCGTGTCTGACAACATATGGGCAAGTATTCAGGAGACCTGCTTGATTTTTACTAACGTGTGTTATGTGGCATTCATTCCCTAATGAAGACACCAGAATACTGTGTAGCAGGTTTCTCTGTTCTTCTGTACGGTTGCGGAATGGGGCCTTTCAAAATAGAGTATATCTGTAGCTTATAAGTAAATGACTATATATGCCTTTAGAACACTGCTCGTGTATGCTTGGACCACCGAATGAGCAATGTTGAGGTTAGATGCAGAGTCTAGATAAGGATGGTGAATCGACTTGTGAGGTGGTAAGTCCTCATCGAATAAGGTGATTGTGACGTGTTATAAAAGCCCAGCCATCGCCTACCTTGACATGAGATTCTTGCTGATTTGAGGGGTAGGTCGGGAGAAAGTTAAGGGCAGCCAAACCAAAATGTGATACCGATTCACTGATCATTGACCTGAGCTGTGTTGTTAGGTTCGGACTGTCTGGTTGAGATCAAAAAGATTTTCATAATCAGTGAGACTCTGAGTGACAGCTCAGAATTGTCGGTAATAGTGCAAGTGCATTCAGTTCATATCATCTTGAGCTTTGAAGCCATCTTACACCTTTTAATCCCACGAGTTTATATCTTCTTATAGTATACAACCTCACTACTGTCAATGTTTCAACTGGTCCAGGAATAATCTCGGTAATTACCCCTTAAGTTGTTGATAAGTGCCAACTTAAACAGACGCAAGTACGTCCCAGGTAGTGAGTTGCGTATCAATTGTTGAACGATTTTGAAATAGCGACTTCATGGTCATAGTACATTAGTAAAGACATGCTGCTGACTATTTGTCACGTTTACACAGCTCTTCTTATACCACTCAGACAGTAGTTTTCGAGCATTGACTATTGTACACTAGTTATGTCAGTAACGTTTGTTAGCATTCTTGGGCTAGTTACAGCTAGAGGTTCTTTGTGTGATAGTTACCTTGAAGCAGGTCAATAGTCTCTAGTCAACTTCCTGAGTTAATATAAACTCTGACAAAATGCATGCTCACTACGCGTACCTTCACACTCTGAAAACGTGATTTCTATACTAAATTTACAAATTGTGTTTCGAACTAGTATAAAGACCAGCACGAAATTCAGTCTTTGTCAAAATTGCTGAATATGATATCAGGGATAAGGAGCATCTCTTTATTAATCATTAATTTTCACCTGATTAGTCCGTATATGAAGCATAATCTAATCTCCCAATATAATACATTACAACAGTAAGTCTGAGATATTTCACTACGTGAGACCGCTAGCGCTGATGCATACAAGTTTCAGATACAACAGACAGGAGCATAAAGTATATGTTGGAGTTTCCATTAATTGATTTCTGAAGGATAAATACTTATGTACACAACAGTATACTGCAGTGACTATAATCCGAAATAATTAATGGAGTGACAAAAAGAAATCTTGAGTAACTAAATGCAGACGTTTCATGACATAGTAAGCTTCAGACATTTTAGCTACATACATTTAATTAAACCGAGGCAAACGAGCTCCAATGCTACAAATCTGATCCGCGCGCTCTAAAACTAATAACCTTGTAGAGGTTCACATATAGCTAGAAGGTACTCGGTGTGCTCAGGAAGCATTCAGAGTAAAGTGAGAGGGGCCTGTAGAACGAAAAGCAAAATAAAAAGTGAGACAACAATCCAGCAAGTTAACGCAATGCACTTACATTTAATAGCGAAAGCAAGAGGCAACAGTTAGAAATAACATAACCTTGCGATAACACAAATGGTTCAAATGGTTGTGAACTGACACTTGTGTATTATTGCGTTTCTGAAGAAACCCGAAATGGTATCTTCACAACAAATATGTACCTATAAGCTGTTAATCAATAACAATAATACATTCACATGTGGGAAGTGTTGTTCCCATAACTCTACTACCAATGTACCCTAAATTATCAACCTGAGTAACTTACTACAACGAAGACTGTATCTTCTGTAACAATATGATCTTGTCTGTAAACTGGCACGCACCATGTAACAGACTGTGATTTGAGAATAAATTATTATTTCATCTAGTGTTGTTTGTATCCAAGTGTATCAAGGCATTTTTGTATCTACTGAAGTCGGATCATTTTATTGTTGTTAGGTACATTAATATACAAAGCCCTGTTTTTTGTGTCCAGTGTCTATCAACTATAAAGTCTCAGAGGACACATATTCTGGGGCTCAGTTTTCGTTGTTGTTCTTCCTGTGACATCACAAAACAATTTTATGGTGCAGACATGACATGGCAGACCTGCATGCTATTTCTCGTTTGATGGTGGAATACAACGTGACAACTGCAATAAGTGGCATGATACTTGTCATATCTAAAAACAGACGAGGTCCTGTGTAATTGAGAAGAATATTGAGTTGACTTTAAGGAAGGAAAGGGAGAAAGTAAAGGAACGGAAAAGAAAGAAACTCAAAGTATGTAAATAGTCCAATGAGTGTGTTTGTGAACACGGAACATGAACAAACGATTATTTATGTATCGCCAAATGAATAACAAAAAGAATATAAAAGAATGAGGATAAATCAATCAATCAATCAGAAAATAGCTTACAACTGCAGTAGTATGTGTCGGTTGAATAAGTGTTCGTGCAGTCATAGTTTTAAATGATGCTATGAAAGTCTCATTAAATTGTAAATGACAATCAAATATCAATATGTGTGAGCCATACACGCGTGGTGAATATGAAACAAATCGAGGAAGTTAGTTTATTTAAATGTAACACAAGATATTGTCTTAATTGCAAACGTCGGATACTTGAGAATAGTATTTATTTAGAAGGAAAAGAGTGAGTGAGAAAGGAAATGCACAACTAGTGACATGGTTCAGCCATGATAACAAGAGTGTAATGAACATCGAACTCTGAAATGAACCCTCAATTTTTTTGAATTTTTCAGTGCAGTCGGGTGAATACACGTAGACTTATGTAATAGCATACAGAGTAAAACTTGATAATAGTGTAAACGATTGTGCAATATTAACTTAGAATGATGCTATGAAAGTCACAATTAATTCCAAAATATAATCAAATATCGATTGTAATATGTTAATTATATGTGGTGAAAATAAAATGAGTCTGAAAAGTTGATTTACTTAAGAGTAGCATAAAATAATTTGTTTTTAGTTATAAGCGTTGGATGTTTAGGAGTATAATATGTTCAGAAAGAAAAGAAGTGACGAAAAGAATATCTAATATATTGAGGAAACAATCGTGATAATAATAATAATTTATTCTCAAATAACAGTTTGTTACATGAGGCATGTCAGTGTACAGGCAAGATCAAATTGTAACAAATGATACAATATCCGCTGTAGTAAATTACCTAGCAGGGTTGACAATTTATTAGATATGAATATAGATGGTTTTAATCAGTATCACAGTTGACGCGCTTCATGAAAGTTGCGTTGCGAATGTGCAACTGATGGTCAAGGATAGGTCCATTGAAGGTGTGAGCTTCTAAATGTCGCAACCTTATGTCCCTTTGGAATATCTAAGGCTTTGAGGATGGTGCAGGATGAAGTCACCCATTCCATATCTCAAGGGGGCTGAAAGAGGGAGCAAGTAAAAGAAAACACGAGAGACAGAGTAGCCAATATTCATGAAGGAATGCTTAAGGTATGATTACTCAGTCTAATTTTCTTTTATCAAGATATTTGTTAAGAAAGAGCATTTTAATAGGTTAAAGAAAATAAGTGTTAACAAGGTGTGAGTGGACATACAACTGACAATTGGAGGCGATTCAGAAAGTAGCTAGGAGTATGGGATTATGTGTGGTTATAAAATAAAATATAGTGTTAGAAATAGTATTGTGATATACAAATGGCTGTTTTCCTTTTATTATCGAAGCTATTGCAGCCGTTTTCATTTTTTTTGTGTATTATTATTTTTTCTTTTTTAGGTATCATAAGGTCTTGATTAAGCTTCGTATATTGGCGAATTGTCTAGTTTGCTTGTAATAGGATTACTGGGTAGGAAGTGAACCCAGTTCAACGTTCGTAACACAATCTAATGAGGTATTTTGCATGATAAATCAGCATCAATACCATAAGTTCGTGACATCCCACTAAACCGTAAGGAGCCGTAATTAAATAAAATGTTCTGTCCTACAGACATGGGTGGATTGAAGTTATCTCCCCACCTTCATGTTTGCTGGTCATTAACGCCACCCTCCCTCCTTTTGTGATGTTAGGCTCTCTTACGTTTGTGGTAAGTATGAATCCTGCTTTAATGAAAGCCTATAGTTGGAATACACTGTCTCTACTAGGTCCATGTTACAAGCAAATCAGATAGTTGAAAAGTCTGTTTTATGGGTTAGATGTCCATATAGTATATCACACTGCTATGAAGAGAACTAATGGTTTAAAGAAGTAAGGACTAATAGCAAATCAAAAGATATGAGAGGGTATAAAATTGTAGAAAGAAAAAAAGGATTTCAGGGTAAGTCAAATAAAACATTGAGAAACTGACAAGACTTTGTGGCCAAATTTTGAGCTTTGTATGATCGTCCTCATTAGATCAGCATGCATAAGATTAGTGAGTTATCTGTCTACTTGCAGTAGAAAAAAAGGCATGAATTTTAGGAATAATAATGTATATTTAACCTGTAGAGAGATTTAGGAACTGAAAGTGAGGGCTGGGAGCATAAGGCCATGATTACTAAACAATGAATAATAGGGAAGGATAAGCCATATATTCTGTGATTAGGTTATATTCATATTAATAGTAGTCAGGCTTGTTATATTCTTGTTCTTTCTAGATACTAGGTGGTCAGTAATAAAACGTCTCATTGGTGGGCGGGAGTTCAAGGAAATTTTTATTTATTTATTTGAACACAAATATTGGTAGAAGAGAGCGCCAATATATATGTGCCACACAAAACAATGAGAGTGCGAAGAGAAAGAAAAAAATGAGAACAATAACGAAGAGGTTGGTGTAAGGTAGTGTTGTAATGATAATAGTAATAATGAGGGAACGAAAAGGTACAATCAGAAGAAATCTTTCAGTTAAGGGAGACACAACCACTTTTTATGAAGAAAGTAAATGAAGGTTACAGCAAGATCGCCACTGACTTCTATTCTGAGCCATATCTGATAATGTCTCTAGCCACTGTGTTCCATCATCTCTCAGACCCCAACCAGGGAGTCGTGAAGGATCGACAGAAGCCAGTCCTTTGCAGCTTTCTTTCACACCACGACACCATGTCATGCACTGACCACCTCTCCGCTTCTTCCAACCAGTCCCAACGTCGGCAAGTAGTGCACGACGTGGAATTCTCTGGGACGACATTCGTAGAACATGTCCAAGCCACCGAAGTCGGTGTTTCAAGATGGTGACACCAATTGCATTATCATCTCTGTGCCAGAACACACGATGCCGAACCTGTGCATTACTAATACGGTGTTGCCACTGGACGTCAGCAATTGTCCAAACAGATGTAAATGGTGCGAAGCTGATGATGAAAAACTGGTTAAAACGGATTATTTTACAATTGTGTCGTTCAGACTCCACCTTAAAATTTTATGAATAAAAGAAAAAATGACCTGTTTAGCGTTAGGAGTAACATGGAATTTTTCAGTTTTTTTACTACACATACTTCTACCAACGTGTTTGTTTCATTGAAAAGGTTTTAACTGATTAATATCTGCAGATTTTGTTGCAACAATGAATCGATAATCTGAACGTTGAAACTGGATTTTGAATTGCAAAACGGAACTCTGTTATCGAACCACTACTGTTATAATTCTCTCTTATTACAACCCAGCTATTCCTATTACTTAGTATTCTCGGACACCAAATCACTCGACAAGTCCCCAAGTCAGAACACGGTTGAACAGGAAAGAGATTATATTCTAAATAACAAGGTTAGATGGAAGTAAGAAGCACAATAGGAAAAACGTTAGTATATTTATAGTTTTTACATGAGAAGATTTCTGGAGTATTCTCCAAGTATCGACTACTGCTGATTGGCTAATTCTTATCCAATCAGCGGGCACCAAAGTAATCGTGCATTGAGCCTGCCTTAATCCAGTTCATGTCCCACTAACAACTACTAACTAGAGAAACCAGTCAGTTAATCACAAGTAATGTAAAAAGTGATACAAAGGTTTATCAGTTCAAATAGCTATAGCTTATCAGGCCAACATAAAAACTAGCAAAAGACGAAACAAAGCTTTTAGCGTTTTTTTAGCAAGTTAGTTTTCCTTATTTTATTTATTCATTTGAACACATAAATATTGGTACAAGAGGGCACCAAATTTATATGCGCCACACAGTTAGTTTTTCATGGGATGTGGTCACTAACCCCATGCCCAACCCTCCTTTATCCGGGCTTGGGACCGGCAATAGCCCCAGAAGTGTCGGTTGGAGTTATGAAACAAAGAGCAGACAATAATATTAACTCCAGTGAGAAGTAATTAGTAAGAAGTATGGTTCGTAAAGGTTCCATATGATCGGTCGAAACATGGAAAGTGTGGAATTAAACTAAGCTCAAGATTTGAAGAAGATATAAAATGGATACAACTACACCACTTTGACGGACTTTTGACCAGTATTTCTAGCCAAGTACACGTCCATATATATCTGGTTAAATCATCTATCATTTTTAGGTTAATCACACTAGACTGATCAAATATCACTGTCCAAACTAGTGATTACTTAAAAGTTAAATACCTAAAACATTGGGCAAGTAAGCTATTAGTTGATGTGATTTTAAGATGCTAGCTAGCAAACATCTAACTAAATCGCTCGAATAAATAAATGCTCAGTGAGCAAAATTTAAGTTTTAACTCAGTGAATATCTGAATCACTACTTATTTGATTGCATTATTTTTGGGAAAGTAAATCCTCTTACATAGTATAATTCTAGTCGTAGTACTGAGTGTCAGGTAAATTCTTTTTCGGTTAAAGGTCATTTAAATCTAGGAGACAGCGATGGGATGGTTATCCTTCTCACATCATAGGAAGCAGCCTGCGCATTATTACTGAGTCGAATTATTTTTACATAGTTAATAATCAGTCATTGGGACCACTATTTACTCAATTAAAAAAACCACCTTCTGAACATTTGTCTCATTTAATGAATGTAGATGGAGCTTTATATCTCGCTTCATAAATCTGTTGACATCATGGTGACATCGATTACATTATCCCCTCTTTGCCAGAACACACGATGCCGAACCTGTGCATTACTAACATGGTGTTGCCACTGGACGTCAGCAATCGTTCGGAGACAACGATGACCGAACACAGAGAGTCTTCTAACGTCCTCAACTCGGAGAGGCCAGGTTTCACAAGCATAGAGCAAAACTGCTCTCACCGACGCGTTGTAGATCCGACCTTTTACAGCCAGACTAACATCACGAAGGCGCCAAAAATGGCCCAGATTGGCATAAGCCGCTCTGGCTTTCACTATACGTACATGGATCTCATCACTCACGTCACTACCAGCACTTATGCAGCTACCCAGATACATGAACTACTTCTATCTGCTCACCATCCAGGGTGAGTACAGGATTAGAATCCTGCCAGTCTTGTAGAAGTACTTTGCACTTCGAAGGTGCAAAGCACATACCATACTTACGGACACTGATTGCCAACTGATTGAGTGCGGATTGCATGGCTTGGGCAATGTCGCACAGTAAAACAATATCATCCGCATACTCAAGGTCGAGAAGTCTTTCTCCAGGCAACAGATCCACACAGCCATTACTTACATCCATGAGAGCTGTTTCCAGAATGTCATCGATGGCAAAGTTGAAGAGGAATAGTGAGATTGGGCAACCCTGTCTAACCCCATTGCTCGAATGAAACAATGGGGAGAGGTAGTTGTATGCCCTCACTCTGCCTGAGGTGTTTTTATATAGGGCTTTTAGGATGTTAATAAACTTCTCAGGCACACCCTTCTTCAATAGACAATCCCAGAGAACAGTCCCATCCAACGAATCGAAGGCAGTCCTGATATCAAGAAACACTACGATTGTTGGTCTTTGATAAGTATGACGGTGTTCTAACATTTGGCGGAGGGTGAAGATATGATCAATACATCCTCGACCAGAACGAAACCCAGCCTACTACTCGCGAGTCAATCTTTCTCGAGTTTTGAACAACCTACGAAGCATGAGGGAAGCCAATAGCTTTGACGCAATCGGAAGTAGACCTGTCCACCGATAGTTGTTACAGGAACGACATGAAACCTTTTTAACGATAGGGACAACTATCAACTCATTACATGACGTTGGTACACTCTCTAACACCCAAACCTTTGTAAACAACGTCGTCAATTGCTTGGTCAGAGAGTCACCACCATCTTTAAAAAGAGCCGGAGGTAAGTCATCTGGGCCAGGTGATTTGTAGCGCTTCAAGAGTTGAAGTTCCTTGCGGACTTCCGCCTCATTTGGTGGATCAGTCGTCACCGGCCATGGAGGGCAGGACAGTCTGACCGATGTTGCCGGAGCAGCAGGCCAGTTGAACTGCCCTTCGAAAAATTCAATCCATCGTCCAATATGTCGATGGATGTTAGTGATTGGCATCCCATCATCCTCACAGATTGTTTCGCTCACACCACACTTCTTGTTGCCAGTGGCTCAGATGAGTTGGAAGAGCTTCCGGTTATTACCAGATGCAGCTGCTGCTTCCAACTCATTAGCACGCTTCGACCATCAGGTTTCTCGGTCCTTACGCAAGCTTTGTCCAATTTCCCTACGTAACATCCTTCGTTTGTGGTCAAACTCACGGTCACCCGTAGTAGACCGACGGGCTTCAATGAGTTGTAAGGAGCCTGAAGAAACCCAGTGCTTATGAGCAGGACGTTTCGCGAACACACAACTGACTGTACCCGCCATTTTCATGGTGTCATGCAATTGCAGCCAATGCTCACCTATTTTTTTTCGGTGGAATGGTAGCTAGCCTAGAAGCCAGCTTGGTTCGATACTTACTCGGAACAGAAGTTGCATCCAGCTCGCTAACATCAATCTGTTGGTGGCCACACCGATATTGGTAGTGAAGAAGACTATGGTAGCTTTCGTTTATTTGGCGATTACTCAACCAGGTTGAATGAAGCCTTAGAACCTCATCAGTATCCATTTCCCTTACCTGAAGATCTTTTTGCTAAAGTGAACGGTGGTAAGCTTTTCGCAAAGTTGGATTTATCTGAATCTTATTTACAAATTATTGTTGCTGACGAGTCTAAAAACCTACTCACGATAAACACATATAACGGTCTATTCCGGTATAATCGACTACCATTCGGAGTCACTCGGCTCCATCCATATTTCAGCAAATAATGGATACTATGCTACAAGATGTTCCAGGTGCTGCAGCTTATCTAGATGATATAATTATGGGAGTAGATAGGATAGACTTAGGAAAGAAGCTCGACCAGGTGCTGACGCGAATTGCCGAATATGGACTTCGACGTCGTCCAGAGAAATATGACTTCTGTATGCAAAAAGTATGCTACCTTGGGTTTATAATCGACAAAGATGGAAGACCAGATCCGGAGAATACCCAGGCAGTGGAAACTATGCCCAGATCGACAGACGTCCCCACACTACGATCTTTTTTGGACTAGATATTCATTATGGAGCTTTTATTCCGAACCTTCATCAATTACGTGCCCTTGAATAGCCTTCTGTCGAAGAATGTAAAATGGAATTGGTCTGCAACTTGCCAAGCTGCTTTCGATGAAATCAAGGAAGTACTGGTCTCGAATCTGCTGCTCACCCATTACGATTCATCTTTACCCATTTTAGTGGCATCAGACGCTTCAAACCACGGCATTGGAGCAATTATTTCTCACATCATGCCAGATGGATCTGAGAAGGCGATATCACATACAGCTAGATCGTTAACGTCAGTAGAACGTAACTACAGTCAGATCGAGAAGGAAGCATTGTCGATTATCTTCGCTGTAAAGAAATTTCACTAGATGATATTTGGACGTCAGTTTTTCGTGCCTTAAAGTAACCTTCGTGCTATTGATAGAAGAAACCAGACAAGTAGTGAATAGGTCTTTATTTCGATCTTAGCGCGGTCACAGTGGAGCGTGGGATTATCTGTTCAGACAAACAAAGGCTCTCAACATTCAATATAAGATAATAGGGAATATAACGCTTATACAAAACAAGGAAGTGAATGAATACTTGAACAGTACTGTCTTGGCATATACTTGGTTGTTTGGGGTCAACTCTTAACCAACCAACCTAAGCTGTTACATTAGCTTCCCCCTAGAATCGACTTCCGTAGGAACGTCGGTTCGATTAACCTAACTATCGAGAACACCTTAGTTCTATTTCTCATCCCAAGGGAAAATTATCAACTCCCTCACTGTTTGACTTACAATCAGTGACGACTGACGCTGTCAACGATAGTCCATGGATGTCTCTTCTTCACTAGCTTGTCATCTTATTTTGTAGCATGTGATCTCTTCTGCAACTATCGCTGACGGTTTGCTGCGTGCTTTCAAGAGAAAGAGTGTGAGAATGTGGAATAAGAATATCTGAGGAAGTGCCGCGAGCGGCACTCAAAGTTAGATTATTGTTTGTAAAAACTGATCAGCTCATAGTTGAGGATATCCATGTTTACACAATAATGGGAGGTAGTGACTGTGATACAGTTATCTTTAACGTGAAGCACTTTACTGATGTCAAACCCCTTTAAGTAAACAAGACGATTTCACTGTAAGACCGTTCTCCAACCGACGAACCTGGCGAAGAGGAACCCTATGAAGAGTGAGTACTAGACATTATAGCTCGGCTGAGTCCCCAGGAAGGGCAAGCGCGACCACAGCTTCAATGTGGCAACAGTGGTCGGAACCCACAAATAACAACGAAACTGTCTGCAATTAGTGCAGTTGAGAGGGTAGACTACCGCCCAGTGGACTTTACCGAAGGCCTGAACTGTACCGAGATGATAAGAGAAGAGCGCAGACAAACCGGTCGCTTTATTTGAGCTCACATTGAAAATATTGGATATAAAATTTACGGCAAAACCTGAGGGCGAGTCATCAGGCATGTCATCCGTACCAAGTAGGTCGCAGTGTTTGTCCTATTGTTGCTCATCGAAAGACTCCCTGCCTCATAGCAAATTGCACGGAGACAAATCCTACGATAATCGAAATCCCCATGTTCTTTCATGTCCACGTGACACTTCACTTGTTTAGTTTAACTTTATCATAGCAACCAGGAATGTTAATTTAAGCAGCAACACTGTAACTAGTTTCAAACCTGAGAAGGGATAAACATTGTGTTTATTCTATTCTTGAATTTGCATATTAGTTGTGAATCTTATAGTGCTTCTAACTAAAAATTGTAAGTAGATGATATGTTTTTACTTAGTCGTCTTATCGTAGCTTCCTCTAATTCCTCTAGTTTATTGTGCTCGTTAAGTGAAGTAACACCTAAATCTCGTGTTTAAACATTACAACCAAACGTAGTAACAACTATTCCTTGCGATTATACTGTGCGAACTTTAAAATTTGTTCAAATGAGCCTCGAAATAATTAACACTGTGGACAAACTAACGCTTTCAGATCAAATAGAACAAGAGAAAATAAGCTTGTAACATTTGTTTTTGAAAAGTCACGTTTCAGAAATCTTCTCAGGCAGACAAACTGCAAACTAGAAGAATCCATCGACATTTTAGAGGATCAGCTAGCTTCAATTGAAGATGAAGGTAATTAAGAAGATTAATCCAAATCCGTTTAGATAATGAATGGAAGACGAGATATTTAATTCAGAAAGAGATGAATGACTACTACAAAAGGGCATTCTTCTTCTGCGATCAGCAAATACCGAAGGCGAAAGCACTTCAACGAACAAGTATACTTGTTTTTTATGTCTATGCCACTTAAATTTTAAAGTAAACCGTGCTGTTAGAAGGGGCTCAAAATTATCTAGCTACATGGATCTTGACGAAGATTCGGTTCAAGAACTTGAGGATTATCGTACGTACATAATTAAATTATGTCGCGAGCTGGAATCAAGGATCGATCAGGAGGGAAAGGTGAGTATTCTCGTGCAAAAGTATCAGATTGAAATGTCTCTGAATACTTCACTAGCGATTCCTTTTTATTCAGTTCAAAGGCATATTTATTCCCTCAATGACAATAAAAAGAATAAGGCACTCGCACTTTGTGACTGCTTCTCATCCGTTTCCTTATCAAGGGATTTTGATGAGTTTGACTTGAGATATCTGAGCGAAGAATAGTTCTTACTTATTTTAAGTGCAATTTGGAAAGAAGTGACCGTAAGGTTGCTACGAGGGATGCTATAAAAACTGAGTTGAGGTAAACTAATGTTATTTCCATTGGTCAGGATGATGTTGTTTCCATAAATTTCAAAGAGACAGCAGTTGATGAAATCCAACGAATTGAGTGCTGGTTTTAGAGTAAACTGGAAAATCAAAACAGTAATTTACGACCGTAATTTTACCCATAAAAACTGACTCTCAACCAGTGATTAGGGTCGCTCAAAGTATATTTCAGGCAGGGAAACTGAAGAGTTGCTTCTTCACTAACTTTCAAATAGTTTTGGGTTTAGAAGAATCTGTAACAAAATTCACTTTGAAGGACATTTGCTTGCGTTGGTCTACAAGACGGTCCCAAACATTGGGAACAAAGATTATATAAACCTACTTAGGGCTTTGTTCCATTGTAACCAACGTGTAGCTAAAAATGCTGTTTCGACTAGGAGGGACGGATTTTTCCAACAGTTTAGAAAATAATGATTTTACTTGGTTGTCAAGAGCTTGAATAGCTTCTTTAATTCAAAATTTAATGACCACTGCAATGATTTCGCATTCGTTGTCTTTAAATCAATGACCGGTGACAAATAGGTTAAATGCCAATGTTTCTAAATGTAAATTTAAGTGGTTGAATCAACTAACATGTACAATGGTAATAAACATAAACAAAGTAGGGTAGAAGAGAATAGAGTGAAGTAAAAATAGTACTGGACTAATTTGAGAATAAGAAGTCTCAGCAATTAAATTGGGTTTATATCAGTTTTGGGAATAGGATCACTAGGAATTGTAGTAAGGTGGAAATAACCCTAGTAATAAAATACATAGCAGTTGGATTACAATAAAATGAGTTCATGATTGTACTAGACAGGTTTAATCTGCGCTGTACTAAAATGAGTCCAAACTATTCAGAAAGTCAATTAGTCAACGCATCTCAAACATAAATAGATCAACAGAACAATGGAACTAGATGAACAAACATAGATTTATCAGAATTAATCACCCAAGGCAATCAATACAATAGATTTAGCTTCCACTTGCTTGGTCTGAGTATCCTGTTATGTGAACCATACATGTCTGTATTAATCACCACAAGCGTGTTCCAAATAAATAAATAGTTCTGAAACATGAATCTGTTGACTAAGAAGAAAAGCAGCACTTAATCATGGTAAGAAATTTAAGTAGTGTATCATTTTTGTCAAACTACTCTATCGTTTCTCTACCATAAGGCTTCCATCCATACGATATGTCGTATATGGTATCTTTTTCTAGCGGTTGTCATATAAATGTCCTGTGATTTCTAACTGGCACAATTGTCCAACAACACTGTGTTTTAGCTGTATGCACCCACATTCATACAGGAAGTATGGAATTTAACCGTCACAGAAGACAGCACGCAACCAAAATTAACCTGATGATTATTGCTCATACTTAAAAATTTCTTGTAAAAGAAACTTGATTGAGAGATGGACATCTCACATATTTCATAGGTGAGATAAGATCGCTGAACGAAGAGGTTTTTGTATACGTTTCAACCACATAAAGTTGAATAGCAGATTCCATAGACATGAAAAAATGTGTTTACTGTCCATGAGCTCTGAAATCAGCAGATGCTGTATTTTTAAGAAGTTATGTGTCTCGTTGCATATTTTTTCACCTTCGAGTGGGAAAGCATAGAAACGAATCCTCGTCGTAAAACAACTACTAGATGAAGCCTACTGAGTCTCATTACAGACTGCCATTAACACCATGATATACCTTCTATTTATTTTATAAAATAGAGTGATTTATGTTCGACTTATATTAATCAGTGAATAACAGCAACCCGATATGCTACAAACTTCTGTTACCACTTGAGAGTAATTTGAGTGACCCTGAAATGACCAATTAGAGTTTAGTTTTCCGCAGTTTACTTATACTGAGTCACTGGACTGAAGGTTGTAAAGTACTCTTGATAAATAATAGCGAAACGAAGACCAAAGGGTACCATGTTTGTTGATTGTGCACCAAATGTTCTACACAGAAACATTCCTGCCAACGTTAACATGGTATGGATGACTAAAAAAATACAGTCAATACACAACTTATATGTAAGCACCTTTATCACAATAAGGAAATGATGTAAAATTGATAACAAAGAAAGTGGTAGATAATTGAGGGGTAGAATCTATAACCTAGAAGACAATCTGATTTCACAGAATCGTACTAAAACTCAGTGACTGGCTGTTGTTATGTGTTTGACATACTTCTTTAGAGTCAAGAAACAAAAAACGTCCATGTAAAGTTTTATCAAGTTTTTCGAATCTCAGATAAAATATAACCACGTCATTACTCACTCAAGGAATGAAATGAGTACACTCACAAACCTGCCGACTACTTCAAATATTTTCCTATCAAATATTAAACTGGTGATAGTGAACTAAAGGGTCAAGATTTAACAAATATTTGAATAACAACGGTGCACTAAGCAGCGAGGGACAAACCCAATATTGTTGTGAGAAAACGAACACTACTATTTTCTGACTGTAGAAAATATGTAGTCATAAAAATAAATAGGATTAAAATATATTAATTTTCAAGTATTAGAGCTCATGAAAACAAATAAGAAACCCCTAACTCGACAAACCGCTTAAATTCATCTCCAGAAAACTTATGATGGTATAATTTCCAAAGGTAACTTGAATTTACTTAATTTCTACTATGAATTCCGTAATACGGATGAATAAAAACAATAGAGTTTAATTTGCTAACGTATTTTAGGCTTATTACTGGGCTACAGAAATTCGAAAACGCGCACTCATTGAACTAAACTATACATATATACCAGCACCAGTAAGTAAGCATCCTGTGGAGAAGAAAGAAGATGAAAGTGATAAACTAGTGAGGAAGACACAGTACGTTTAGTTTTTGCTAAGATTACGGTGACGTGATATACATTTCACGGTATTTTTTCTGTTTCTGTAAAAATATGATATTCTTGGAATTTATTATTCAATGAACTGATATTTGTGAATAAAATATTACTAGAAGCTTATCTGGAATAAAACATTTCTTGTCAACAATAACCTGAATGTGCTTTAACATAAGTAGATTACTTGAGAAAATTATATGTGCGTTTTCCTAAAAAGTATTACACTCATGTTGAAATGTTGACTTTTAATGAAAATTCGAAGTTTCATGGAATTCGGAAGCCAAAATTAAAAAAACCAATAGCCTAGTTTTCTCAAAATCTCAGCAACGTAATTTGGAACACCACTGACAAATAAGCGTCAACATTTTTTCCATACAGTGTCATTCAAAGCTTAAAGGTTGTACGGGGAACTTTGGCTATAACATAGAATTAGTTCTTAAATATATCAGAACCAATAAAGACAGCAGAGAACTATTTTTATACTAACCTTTCCAATGTTGATATTGACAGGGACAACTACACTCAAGTGTATTATATCATTAAAGATCAATAAATTACAAACCCCACAATAGCATGGCATGATTGAACTAGAGCCTCAGATTGTTGCGTAATAAGGTTACGTTGATCCTACCGAATGTTTCACGTCCACATAGAGCACGCATAACGATTAATACAAAGTCCATGTTTACTAATGCTGAACAAACATATTAAATCATCAGTTCAGTAACACTAACTTAGATTTTGTGGGTAGGAAACGCATGTTGAGTGTTTTAACTTTCGGTAAATCTTAAAGGTCAAGTATAAATGACTGTAAAACACTCGACCCAAGCTCCACAGTGAAAAATTTAGGGATCGATGTTTAGAGACATTGGAAGAGATAACTGAAAATTCCTCAAGATTAGTCAGATTTACTCATTTCTTTACTTCTCATAGATTGTGAAGCGCTTAACCCATAGTAACCGATTTCCTACGTTAACTTGTGTCGTTTTCGCCAACTTATTTCTTTCATTTTGCTGAATATCTGTACACTGTTATAAAGTGCAATGATTTCAGTCAATAAACGATTGTGCAAAGATTTACGAGATTTCCTATACTTATCTTCTGTTGCGTAGCTGTACATATCAACTCGAAGAGTCGGTCTATTTCTGAGAAAATAGCTCACCGAAACTTGGTGTTCCAGGTCTAAAACCATAACGTAGTAAACGCAAGACTAGTATCGATATTAATAAAGATTATGAAATACTGTATCGATTAAAATAAGACTGCTAAGTGGTGATATACTTAGCTGTGTCAACAGTCTATGCAAGTAACAAGTGGAAGCTAAAAACATAAAAAATGCATTTTCACTTACTATATTCCTACGATAAGTAGGGAAAAGTACTACGATTTCGCTTTATAATCGAAGTCTTTGAATGCCTACGAGAGTAAAAAGTGAAGCCGATGTATGTATTGAGAGCTCTAATGACTTCCACAGTTACACTTATTTACAAAAGTATATATGAAAACAGCATTAATCAACGGATATAGCAGTACCAATAACATATGCTCTCATTACACAACTGTAACTTTTATGACATCGTTCGAGTGAGATGCACCTGATGAGCTGGTGGACACCAAATAATTTGGAATGCTCATTAAGAATTTTAAATAAATATACGATGCGGTCAACCCTCACCGACTAGGTAGGAGTATATGTGTAGCTGTTAACCACCATATAGAATAAAATTGCAACCACAGGCAAAACAGTGAAACGGTATAATAGAGACTATACACTATTCAACTTTTAGTCTGAATTTTCCAAGGAAAAAAACCAGCAAAGTTGTCCCAATTATTATGGATATACTCAGGAGTTGCTTTAATTACGTTTAACAGTAAATTATATCCAGCTTTCAGTTACACAACAACTCAGTTCGGCTAAATAGAACTATATCCGAGAAGCAAACATTATATATTGGAAAGCCGGAACTGTGCTTACAATTATAATACTGCCATTTTGTCATTCATTCAAAGACTATGTAAAGTACTAGAATGTGCAAAACAGTGAGTGGGAGTCAAGTATCTTAACTACCTAGACATATATATGCATGACTACAAGTTACTTTGCTATATTTACAGAACACACGGCACACAGTTAATAATATATTATGTGATTTTGTAATGTTTTAAAACACATCTAATTAACCGTTGACAATTAATTTCTCTTTACGCAGAAATCGAACATTTAATTCTAAATATGGTCTGGGAAGTAAAACAAGTGGAGTGAAGAAACTGCCTCCAATGCATTTCTGACCGACATCGCTGAAAACATATAAAACTGTGTATGTTCGATTAAGTAGAAGAAATTAAATAAATCTTTAGCTTTTTATTAAACCAAACATGATGTCTAAAACGAAAAATGAGTTGTCGTTTACGTGTAATGAATGCCGAAAGTTGGATGATAGTAATTACTGACTTTTACGATACACAACATACGCTGCAGATTTTGTCCGTTTGCAAGAATTATACAAATACAGAATCGAAGCACACAAATTCAACTTGGTAAAACGATTGTTTCTGCTGCAATTTTTAATAAATCTTTTGTTTTCAATCGCCAGTTCTTAGGGTCTTTACTGATTTGGCACCATACTTCACCATGATGAGGTTCTGCAGTAACACAACGTCGGTATACTTCTTTCTGTTGATCCTAAACAAAATGAAATTAAGATAAAATCCCGAAGTTATTGATACTTTATCAACTATAGAACATTAATTATGTACATAATCATATCATATACTATAAGCTGTGCTTTGCGTCCTGGCTGAACTTATGATGTTGATTAACAGAAAAAAATTAATGCCTCGGTGTATAATTAACCTTTAAGCTTATCAGACGTTTTGATATTTTGCGACAAATACACGAGTTGACATGATTAGTACTAATCTGTTTGTAAACACAAAATCCAAACTACTCTAACACAGTCCAAATTTATCTACTCAGCTTTGAGCTATACCTTTTGCGTAAAGTATGGCGATACTATCAGGAGGAAGACGATGTAGAATTTTAACCTAAAACTTCATTCTTAAAGCTGAGTATTTCAATTACTAAGCACTTAATCTAGTTTATTGTTTATGTAAGTGTAATTATAAACAGTATTAATAAAATATAGAAATACTTTTCGAACTCACTTCCGTCCCATGTTGTAATTCAAATTTGTAAAAGTAAGCCCATGCGTCGCCAAGATCTGGTTCTAGTTTCACTGTTCTTGTAAACCAATTACGAGCTTTCATGACCAGTCGTTCACACCAAAACATTCTAAAATAGCAGAGTATAACAATCCTTAGAAAAAAAACTAAGTTTGTAATGGGGTCAAATATCGATCGAAGTTTATAAATCATTGACATCCTGTTCATATGAAAATAACTTCGATGGAGAGGCGAGCCACCCGATTACAACAATTTGTCCTCATCACTTCTTCAATTGTTTTTTCTCCGTACAATCATTAAGTGTGATTGTTTCCTCTGAGTTTTAACTACGACATGGTTATGAAACTGGAAACTACCGGTATTAGTGTGAATATGACAGGTTCAACAAATAGTTTCGTCCCATAAAAATGGAACAAATACCAATTGAAATAATTAGTATTTTTTTCAAGAGATTTGTGTACATAAATGTTGATATACCGCTGGATTTCATATTCAACTGAAGTGTTGCTCAAGGTCAAGCGAGTAAACAGTTTAACTTTAAACTAATAATAAGCTTGATTTCTAAACGTTTCTGGACTGCCCTATGATTCACAGCATTTTAAAATGGCTAGGAATTACTAGGCTTTCAATATTCCATGATACCTTAAGTTTCTATAGTAAGGACATAATTCAGTAACTTGAATTCACTGATGAATTATGAAATGCAGTAACGTTCTGTTATGCCCCCACATTCCCTGGTACGGCCGAGAATGGGGAGAGTCTGCTCACCTTCTCAAAATGCTCTCACATGGCCACGCGTATTAGCCTCTGCCAGGGAAGTCCTACTCACTGCCTTCTCGTGGAGGGGTGTTGTTTACGAAATTGACAGGACGAAAAGCGAATGTCCGGCGCTTTAACCCGGTTGGTGGGCACAGAGAGTCTACCTAAGGGAGTCGGAAAACCCTGATTCCAAACCAATGGTGCACGTGAGATCCAGTGTCCTAAGTGAACAAACGGCGTATAAACCAGTCGTTGGTCACCGGCTACCATGGGACCTGCATCGCCATACGATGCTCCACTGCCTTGTGGATCAGACCTTTAGGTCGAAGGCTTCGGGTGTGGCTACCTAAGGAAACCACCTGCTTCGGTTTGGACACCCGGGCAGTATCACAGCCCTCACACATATCCAATGAGATTTGTGTGGCGCATATGTATCTGGTGCCCCCTTGTACCAATATCTATGTGTTCAAATAAAATAATAAAAACTATGTGGATTAACGATGGTTCTATACTAAACAGAAAAATATCAGTATATATATATTTCAATTCATCCGAGATACATTCAGCGAGAACGTTAATCTCGACATCACCATACTCTAGGTTCCAACCAGTTCTTCAAACCTATGGGGGATTGTGGACAGCCTCCATGGATCTATGATCGAGAGTGTTATCTACCTTCATTTTTAAGTTATAATTACACATGCCGTTACATCTCAATTAATCATCAGATATAACTTTAAGTCAGTGGGTTTAAGGATAAGTGATATACTAGTACTTAACGACGAGTTGAAAACACCTAAGGTTATCCAAGTGAGACAAAAAGAGGTCAGAACTGAGGATAATGTTTCTCGTACCTAACACAAGTAATGAAAAATAAGATGGGATTGTCAAATGTAATTCAAAATGTATTTTTTATGATTACATTACTGGTTATTAAAAAGCACTAACACTTTATTTGTAACAATTATATATGCACGAGAAATCTTTGAGTACTGTAAAAGTTAGTAATTCGAGTTTTGATTGTTTCATTTTCTCAGTTGGATCCAGCTCAGAGAAACTCTGCAAAAATTGTTTGCCTAAGCAACAAACCTTCACTATCTCAATAATTCAAATGCTGACTACTTTGTAAACTTAACAATGGTGGGAGAGTGCTGATAAAATGCCATTATGATAATGGTCAATACAGTTTAATCATACAACCCGAAAGAGAAAGGTAAAACTTTATGGAGAATACAATCTATCCCCAACATGTTCCGTACAGTTAGAGAAAAAGTAATACATCGAAATTTCTTCCGATTCAAATGAGTATATACACTGAGGTTCAGTCTTTTAGTATATGAAGACACAACAACTACAAACAAATAGTAACTCTTTGATGTGTATTTTAGTGTGGTAGATTTAGAGACAGACTACTTTTAAGAGGAACAACAATGTTAGACAGAAATTAAAACAGTGGCTGGAAGTGAGAATACATTTGGACCTGAAACTGTGTGGTTTAATAGAGAAAATAATTTAAAATGCGTGATATGCAACGAGTACCGTAGCAATACTACGATTTCAAATCAAAGGTGTGATATAATCAGGCCACAGCAACGAGAGGAAATTTACTTTCCAATTTAATTCTGATTCATCCCATCAAGCAAACTGTATGATTTCGACATAGAATACCGTATTTACACAATGGTAAATTCCAGACAAGTTTTCGCATTATGCCACTACTGATATAAGAACTGTTAATGAAAATATTCAAGTTCTTTTATAGTTAGTGTGTCACAGACACTAAAAAACGTCATAGAATAGTAGAAGACAATAATTATCAGGATATCAGAAAAACCAACACCATTGATAAAATGACAGAAACTAAACTACCCTAGGGCCACAAGTAGTCTGAAAAATTTTTAGTACAGAAACTAACTTGGATACAGCTAGAAGTACCAGTGGATCATGTTCACACTTCTTTAAAGCATCCACTGACTTGCTTTTACGCTGAGCTCTAGGAGTCATAAATATTGCCTCAGCCCATAAACAACCAGATGTTGGGCATTCTTGAAGTGCTTTTGAAAGAAGTGAATCAGCTACAGGTTTCAAATTAGCTCTTACTTCTAATCTGATAGCCTCCAACCTAATAAAATCAAAAATATTTCGAGCATTACATAACTAGTGAACAGTCTAATACAGTATCAAGAAAGATGTCAACAAATTCAACTGAGCAGCATGATTTACGTTTTTATGAAGGAGTGATTTCCATTAGCGGATTACTGAAAATGTAAAATAGCTATAGTACCATCTAGCTCAAAAACCTGTCAAGGAATCCCCATAATCCAAAGTGAAATGGTGGTTTTCATAACCAAATGGGTATCTAAGTATGAATTTAACTAATTAGCACTTTCTAAACTCATGTAACTGAAATAAGTACATATTGAAGATTCAGGAAAAACTAAGAATTATTGACATGGAATACTACTGTAAGACTTAGATTTTAAAGTCTATATGTAGATTAATCCTTAACTTACTTAAGTTTAATTAATTTAGTACACCTTATAAAGATGTTTATCACCTAAAATCCGGATGGTTATTTCGAAAAATTGATTGATAGTTTGGTATTATAGTAGTTTTCGTGTTCCTTCCATTTGTCTTTCTGGTCTTTTTTGTCTGTGGTATATGTATGGTACCTTGGAAAAAAACATCGTCATTGTACGGCATTTCTGTCTATCAGTATGTGAAAATATTGTGTACTATTTACACTTTAGGACCAGTGAAATGTCACTGAGTCCTAGCCAAATCGCTACGGCAGTTAGGTCACTGCATGTCGAACAGATCACCGGTCCTCGTCAAGGTCAGGAACAACCAACACGCATCAGTTAATCGCACATCGTGGACTGGTACATGAAGTGGTGGTCGCGCTTGCTTCCATGCACCTACTCTTACTAATATATCTCTGTAATCACGTCGTTTTTGTTGTACATTCATCAAAGCAGACAAAGTACCTGGATACGACAAAGAGGTAATTCACGTTAGGTACTAACCACAACGTTAGCTGGCCGCTAATCATTCGACACAGATAATTTACATTATTGACCTACAACACCTTACGAATGATGAAATGTATTTTATCTGTTCAGTGTTGTTCAGGTAAGAAAAACTTCTATGGTTAATTCGTGTTTTTTGTCTACAAATTTGTACCTTCAAATCGTAAGATAATTCTTCTTTACCTTTTTCGGATGCATGAAGATAAGAATCGTAAGTTAGATAGCTTTTTGAAGAAATTAATACTAGCCGCTAGTAAAGAAACAAATATATGATCATCCAACCGGATTTTAGAAAATGAAGCCAGTTCTACAAAACTCTGGACCTAGAAGCATTTAAGAGTTAAGTAAATGGTATTTTTATAATTGAAGTCAACAAATAAATATATCAGATGGGTTTTGTGGATATTGTAGTAATTTCAATGGTTAACATCATGAGTCAGTTGAAGCTGAACCACCATGGAAAACCTGGAAGCACTGGACGGCCGTTTCGTCCTATTGCGGGACTCCTCAGCAGTGTACCACTGAGCCGGCATCCAACGGTGTTCATGCTTAACTTCAACTAATCCGGCTCAGTGGTCTAGTGGTTAAGTGCTCGCGCGCGAAACCAGTAGGTCCTGGGTTCGAATCTCGCAGGGGGCGAGGTCGTGGATGCGCACTGCTGAGGAGCCCACAATAGGACGAAACGGCCGTCCAGTGCTCCCAGGTTTTCCATGGTGGTCTAGCTTCGACTGACTCATGATCTTAACCATTGAAAATAAATATATAATAGAGTACTATGTTTAGAGGGCACAACTCCATGTTATGAAACAGTTCGAGGTAATACTGAATTACCTAAATCTGACTGGGCTTCGAATTTGAGAACAAATGGTCGTAAGTTGTCTATTAAGTTAACTGAATGATAAATGTAACCGAATTTTCAGATAAATATCGTTTTTAAAAATAATTAAATATGATGTAATTATTGTGAGGATTATTTGAGATTTGTGTTGGATGAATATTACTTACCACAGTTCTGGTGTTTTAGGATTTTGTGAACGGGCCTTCTCCAAAATGGAACGTGCTTTAGTTAAGTTACCTTGTCGTTCTTCAAATCTGGCCAACTGCAACCACAGGGCAGTATAATGTGGGTTATGGTTCAGCTTTTTATGAAAAATACGTGAAAATAAATGTTAGAAATAGCAGTTACCATAACTTAGTACAATAGTTCTTATCGTATAGAAAGAAAGATATTCTCAATAACAGATAGAAGTATATAATAAAATTTTAACAATTTAACTGTTACCAAAGAGAACTTTTGTTATGCTATCTTTTAATATTATGAAGTATCACTTGATGGAAAGGAAACAAACAAATATTTAGCAAACCTAATTATGAATTGATAATAAGCACTAGAATGTTGTCAGAAGTAGTAATGAAGCATGTTATTTGTTCACATAAAATTTAGCATATGGGTTAAAATTATAATCAAATGGATTGTGTTCACTTTATTTCCATATCCTAACGAATAGTTTCGAAATAACCAATATAATTTGTGATCAATTTATCAATTCCCAAATTGCCTCATTGATAAAGGAAACAGTTTACGGTATCGTCGTGATACATAATCTCCATTTGAAAAAAATTATTGAAGCTGTCGCAAGATTGCCTAAAAATAAACTGGTGCTTTTACGGAAGCTATAAAAGTTTCGGTGCGACATTTTTCACATTCTCGAGTTGACTGACATGCCGTGGACAGATGTTTGGAACTGATCCTAAGTGACAATTTTACAGATGATCCATTATGAAGGGATGCAAAGCGAAGCATTTAATCGAGGAAACAAAATCCTATGATAGATATGTAGATGATGCTCATATGCATTTCATCTATCGGAATTTTTCGAAAAATCTTATTCTAACATAGAATTAACGATACGACACGAACCAGATTACCTATTTAACGTCCTAGATCTTGATTATCGATGAATTCAATTAGAACAGAGGATTTAAAAATAACAAATTCATGATGAAGCTACATGAAATGGAATTCCAGCAACGTTTACAGTATAGTTTAGCAAAAGGAACATTTACAGAAGCTTTCGATGAAAACCAGAAACGTAATTTTACACGAAACTATTTTTAGAGTAGTAAACACACAATGGCGCACAAACATTGAACGAAACCAGTACTTACTCCTTCGCGATAGGTGTTTCTAGCACGTTCTTTTAATGATTCAACCTCATTCGGTTTTAAGCCTTCTTCTGACAACTGTTCATAAACTTGACTAAGCATTAACCACAGCTTTGGTGCCTGATTATATGTTGATGTAGCTTTTTCTAACATTTCTAAAGCTTTATTTAATTCACCTAAACACCATTCCAATCTAGCCGCTTTCATCCATACACGAGCTGTAGAAGCAGAAGCACAAGCTTTATCTAGTAAACGACGTGCACGTGCATATTCTTTATTTTCTGATTCAAGTTTTACAGCAGCTAACCATATCTCCTCTGAATTGGGATTAGCTTCAAATGCACGAGCTAGAATAGAACGAGCTGCTGGACATCACCCTATGACGCAAACAGATAAAACAATTTGATTAGGCGGATGATAAAAAAGCATAAACCATAACATGGATACGGACAACAAAATTACAGGAAAATGTAAGGAGAACATTCACTTAGTATTAGTTGACTTTACCAGTATATTAAGGATCAAAGTCTTAAATAAAACATATGTTATTAATTGTAAGAACTGTATTAATATGGATTGTCTTTGGTAACATATTAACGCTAGCCCATCTAGAAAAGTTGAATATACAAAGTGCTAGTACAAGTATTCTTGTGTTCAATCAGTGTTCTGTTTGAATAACTGTTCATACGCCATAGAAACACGGTGTAAGCAATAGTGTGGTTCGACAAGATGTATTCGCAGTTACTAATCATAATATAACTCACAATGCAATTGTGAAGCACTGACCCAAACATGTTATACGAATGTCTTTCTAGGTGCTTCCGTGTCGGGGATCATTTATCGACATCAATACTTTTGTATCCGAAGAATAAATAATTAGTAACTGCTAGGATTTATTTATGAACTATTATTACACATATTCTCATTGAATAATTATTAAGTAACTACATATATATATATATATATATATATATATATATATATATATATATATATATATATATATATATATATTCGCATTCTCTTTATCATAAGCTTTCATTTGGTTTATTGGCTGCAGTTTTACGATTTACCATTCTAAACTTATTCCCAATTTATTAGTTACAATATCCCGTACTCACAGCCACTTTTGGCTTGGTCATGTATAATTACTATTTATCATTTTATTGTGATACAGTCTGGTCTGCTTGTATATAAACCACGTGTGTCTGAAATAGACGATTCATACAACAGAAGTCGATATTTGTGTTCTGTACTGAACGGGCTGGGTTAGGTGAAATGTTACTATACAGAAAACCAATGTCGAGGCAATCGGCATAGAATGGATATATGCCAAAGAGAGAATGATCGACTCCAGTCCTTAACACTAACGATGGGACAATTTAAACAACCATTACCAACAAACTATTCTTGTTTACTTATTTAAACACTAGAAGTTGAGGAACTAAAGATATTGTAATGTACGATTATGGTAAATTCGAATCTCCAAAATATAGGTTTCGACTGTCCAACCATTTCTTGATATTATTACAGTCCTTTCGAACCAAATGATCAAGTATGTATGTGCATTAATTCTGCTCTTTAACTATGATTGCTTAATTTGTCCAAAAAATCTAAATAACACTAGACTGGAACAAACTCATGCATTTAACTAAATTTAGATGAATTTCGGATCACTTGTTAAAAGTCAGGAAATAGAAGAACGATATCATACCAAATATATATCAGTTACGTTACAAATAGCACTCTTTATCATGTGACGTGGAATATGCAGTCTATATAATTTTAACAACAGGCGATAAGCATGTTTAAAATCATCACACACCACGTAGTAAGGAAGATGTGGTATTACCAATGAAATCCAATCAGTAATTTTACTCTACATATCAGTTTTGTATAAGTTATCCATAATAACGAAACGATAGTGCAAATGACATCTTTTCATTAACTTGTTAATAAATATACTTACTGCAAGCCAGCGTGTCTTTGCTGCCATAAGCCAAAGCACTTCTGCTTGAGGACAATGACTAACAGCTTGACGCAAAAGTTCTTCTAAAGTTTCTCTGTTTAATAATTAGAGGTATGGTAAAAAAATTTGTGCAGTAGATAGGGAAAAAACACTAACGATAATAATAATAATAATAATAATAATAATAATAATAATAATAGCAAACAATTAAAAATATGACTCAATGAACAAACACATGTATGTATACTAAAATTGATTTAGTAACCATAACCTGGTACTTGATTACCTAAACCAAAGTCGAGTGGACTAGATTCGAGTCTACAACTCTCTACACTGCTCATTGTTGTGTCCTAGTCATCACTTTTAACGGACGAGTGAGTTTCGACGAAAATAAGAGGTTAACAGTGGATATTTAAATCGAACTAGAGAATAAAGAAACTCCATTCAAAAAAGTTATCAGACCATGATTCCGAAAGTGTTCCACATAAGCAACAACATTTCGAAGTAACAGGCTATGTATGAATCTACGATACTTAACCAAACACGAGCCATCGGACGTTGCAAATCTGGCAGCCCCTAGCTTTCTTCCAACCTACTCCTATACCACTGAACATAGCACGTCGAGGCAGTCGGTCGTTGGGCATACGTAACACGTGTCCCAGCCATCTCAACTGATGAAGTTTCACTACTTCATCAATTGATTTGCCATCCTTACCTAGTACCCGTTTCCTAACAACTGTTACTTACTCGATGGTCCCATGATATACGAGCAATATTTCGAAGACACCTATGATCAAATACTAGTAACCTACGAATATCCTCTACTCTTACCGGCCATGTTTCACTGCCATAAAGTAGGACGGAACGAACTGCTGCGCAGTAAACACGTCCTTTGGTTGATAGACGGATATCTCGCCTACGCAATTTGGCAAAAGCTAGTCGAGCCTTCTGTATCCGTGCTGAGATTTCGTCACACACCAACCACAAGGGCTGATGAGACTTCCAAGATAAGTGAAGCGGTCGACACACTCAACTACTTCACTCCCTATCACTAGTTCGGGTGTCGATGTAACCCAATCCTGAAGCAACATTTTGCATTTCGAGGGAGAGAATCGCATCCCGAACATGCTTGCATTGTTGCTTAGAGTGGTCAGAAGACTCTGCATTTTGTCAGCGTCTTCACCAAATAAAACTATGTCATCAGCATATTCTAAGTCAACAAGTGAACCTCCCGGTAGAAGTTCAACCCCTGTAAATTTAGATGAGGAGAGTGTTATCTCTAAAAGTACGTCAACGACAAAGTTGAACAAGAATGGGGAGAGTGGACAGCCCTGACGAACACCACTTGAGGTAATCAATTCTGATGACAGTTCGCCATAAGCTCTCACTCTACCAGTTGTGTTCGAGTAGAGAGCCTTTATAAGGTTAATGTACTTCTTTGGTACTCCTTTCAGTGACAAACACTGCCATAGAACCTCACGATCAACAGAGAGAAATACTACCATTGTGGGGCGTCTGAATGTGTGTCTGTGTTCTAGAACCTGACGTAGTGTGAATATCTGATCTATACAACCACGTCCAGGTCGAAAACCAGCCTGGTTTTCTCTAGTCTGCTCTTCACGAGCTTTGATTAGGCGTCGAAGTATTATTGAAGCTAATATTTTAGACACTATATTAGTCAAACTGATTCCTCTGTGATTGTCACAAGAGGACTTTTGTCCTTTCTTATAGACTGGCACAATCAGTGATTGAGACCAGTCAGATGGGATTACGTCCAGTTCCCAAATTCTACCTAAGACCTCAGTTAATCTCATTGCTAATACTGGACCACCATCCTTAAAAATCTCAGGAGTAAACCTGTCAGGGCCTGCTGCTCTCCCTCGTTTCAGATTTCCTATGGCTTTTTCAACTTCGTAAAGGGACGGAGGACCTACATTAACTTGCCATTCAGGTTGACTGGAGATCGTGGGAAACCGAAGTGTGGCTGAAGGCCAGTTGAACTGATCCCTAAAGTGTTCTGCCCATCGATCCAATCTCCTGGATTGAGAATGAATAATATGTCCATCTTTCTCTGAGATTGTTTCGCTAACGGTCGGTTCCTAATTCCGGTTTCCTTAACGAGTCTGAACAATTGTCTGCTATTACCTATTGCCGCTGCCTTTTCCATCTCTCTTGCTTTCGCTACCCACCACTGTTCGCGATCATTGCGTAGACTTCTTGTCAGCTTGCGCTTAAGCTGACTCCGCTCTTCATTATGTTCAGAGCCAGGTGGAATGAGTTTCCGAGCATCTATCAGTGCGATAGATGCTGCTGAGATCCAGTGTTGCTCCCTAACCTTCTGGTTTACCTTACTAGCAGATATCACTGCTGTTTCCACAGCTTTTCGGATATCATTCCATGCTGCATCGGGGTGGGCATCACATACATGGCTGCCTAACTGTTTTCCTAGTTGTTCCTGAAATATACTCTTAGCTTGACTATCATTAAGTAGGCCCTAAGAGGTTTCCTTGCAGCGTCTTTCCTACGTCCAGTAAGACGCAAGCAAATACGCGCTCGCACTAGAGCATGATCTGAATCTAGGCATGTGCTCCAGAATGAGCGACAGTCTTCTATCGAGCCCCTCCATCGGTGGCTGATAGCGATGTGATCTATTTGGGTCCAACGTTGGGACGAATTAGGGGGTCGCCATGTTAAAAGATGTTTTTCCTTATGCTTAAAGTTAGTATTTGCAAGGAACAGGCGGTTATCTGAGCATAGCTGCAACAGACGGTCGCCATTATCTGTTCTTTGAGCCACGACACCATAAGATCCACCTAGGTGTCTTTCCCTATCGCTTAGTTTACCTACTTGAGCATTAAAGTCACCGGCCACTATTACTACATCCGAGCGCCTAGCTTTTCGGAGAAGGTCCGAAAGCTTTCTGTAAAACTCATCTTTTACATCATCTGAGCTGCAGTCAGTGGGAGAATAGGCAGAGACGACGAAGAGGCAACGACGAGTGTCCCTATCTTTCCGGATTCTTACTGTTCCGTTCAGTCGGACAGCGCACAAACGACTGTCTACTGGGATCCACTCTAAGAGAGCTAGTTCTGCCCTAGGACTCAATGCTATACCTACGCCGGCGAGGCCACGGGAAGCAGAATCAGGGCTTCCAGATACACGAAGCGTAAATCGAGTCGGTTCTTTATTTTGGCATGGTGAGGTCAAATGAATGACGCTACTCGGATCCTGTATGCGCGTTTCGGAGACGCAGCACACATCGATGGCGCGGGATTCTAAAGTCCTAGCTAAGGAAGCCTGTTGTCCTATTTGGCACAGTGTTCGGACGTTATCATTACGAATGTACTTTGTAACTGAAACTCCATTTTATTTACTGGAGGACCGCACACATATATAACCCTATATTCTGAGAAACTAGCACAATCTTCTGACTTTACTCCAGTTTGCATGCGCATTCACAATGGTAGTACAACCAGTCCAAATAACAAATACTCTTTAGCATGTAATACTTAGCTGGTACTGAAGTTCATTCTGACGAAATTAATCGCATAACCTCACTTACTTTCAGAGAAAAATACCATTTACATAAAACAATTTGATTAGTAATATTAGAGACCATTTACCTTGTTCCATGATTTCGTTCAAAATAAGCAGCACGTAGCCAAATACTTTTCTTTGTAGGAAAATGAGCCAATGCTACAGCATAAATAGCACGAGCACATTCTATTGCGCCGCTAGTAGCACAATTCTCTGCATCTGACAACCATGTATGCTTTTTATCTTGTTCTTCTAAACCATATCCTATAATAGCTTTACTAAGATAATAGAATACATAGACGTTTTTGTTTAAAAAGTAAGATATATAAAGTTTATCAAATTATAATTAAGTTGAAGTAGATTTTTTGAAAATACTTTTCTTAATTAGTAGGAAGCCCAGTACATTCCCTTGGAAATGTGCATTGATTATACTGAGTAACTATTTATTTTTCTCATATACTTAGATTTGCCACTCAGAAACCTAGTAAAATCCAATAGCACAGAGCTATCCAGGACATGAATAACTTCTTCCAAAACTGGATCAAGTATACACATAGATCAAGGGGTAGTATCAAGGACTTGAATAACTTGCTGTTGGCATCGATAACTGAAGCACTGAACAATTCAGGTATCCAATGTACATTAAAAATAAGGATGAATGATTGTGATTATCACCTAAATTACGGACATGAATCAGTTAATTATGATCATAGTGTCTACACCTAAACCTCCTTAATCTCCAAACAAACCCCCAACTCCCATAGGTGGATCCTCCATATCCAACAACCCGGTTAAATCGCCGCACATTTGTTTTTCGTTTTTTCAATTTTGTAAACAACACCCCCGTCGGGAGAAGGCAGTGAGTAGGACTTCCCTGACAGTGGCTGTATACGTGTGGCCATGTGAGTGCATTTCAACAAACTGGTCTCTCTCCACCCTAGGGAGTACCAGAGCATTTAAAGTCTATCGGGCGTTTTTTACGAAATCGAGAGAATGAAAAGCGTATGTCTGACTCTTCAATGGGGTTAGTGAGCACGGAGGACCCACTTAGGAGAGTTGAAAAACCCTAGTTCTAAAGTAATGGTGAACATGGGCTCCTTGATCGAAAATAAGAGAAAGGAGTATGGACCTATTTTCATTCACCGGTTACCATGGGACTGCATCTCCTAACGTTGCTCCACTGCCTTGTGGATGAAACCTTTGGGTCAAAGGTCCGAGGAAAAGGCCTCAAAAAAACCTCCTGCTTTCATCTGGACAGTAGGATAGTATCCAAGCCCACACACAACTTCAGTGATTTGTGGAGGCATACATATTTTGATGGTCATTTGTAGGAATGTTTGTGTTTAAATAAATAAATAGTACTAATAACTAATGTCTTACTTCAGTGACTGTCTAACGATCAGTTTGTTTATTACTCCCCATTAAGTAATGCTGAGCAAGTAATTAAGGAAATGAAGAATACTAAGTTCCTCACTGATGGTTGAAAAAGAAAATAGGATGATAACTTTTACTAAATAGGGTCCCCCTGAAGACGACAAAATTGAGCGAAGGTCAAGAATCAAAGCTGTAATAATTGATCTTAGACAAAAGTTAATATCTGTATCATCTTATTCACTTAACTAAGAATCACATGCTAATTCAAAACTAACGAATAACCATAAAAAATGAGGTCTACTAAGTTTGATAATTCAGGATTAAGGAAGCTAGTTGTGTGTAAAAATCAATTAAAAAACCTACATTATAGCTTGAGCGGTAAGAACACTTTTAGCTTTTTCACATTCCTCTGCATCTTTAATCCACTGGTCACGATTGATTTCAACCATATTTGCTTGTAAAGATGCGACACCACGATCAACAATTTTCTGCACCATATTTTGGTTTCCTTGAGCCTCCTCTAAACGAGTAGCTGCAAACCAAATTTGTCTGTCTGTAGGAATGCTTTCGCGAGCTTTATTCAAAACAACTCTAGCTTGTTCATAAGTTTCCAGACGAGCTAATGCAAGCCATAATTCAACAGACGTTGGGCAACATTCAACAGCTAAAGATAACATTAGTCGGGCATCATCTTCATCCTCCAATTCAACTGCCAATTTCCACAACCTTACAGAGTTTGGGACTTGTTCTAATGCTGAATTGAAAATGTGAAGAAAAACAAGTCCATCAATTTTAAAATGGCTGCTTATGAAAATTTCGTACAATGATTCAGTAAAACGAGTCCATAGCTGCTGTGTTCATGTAAAAAAAGCTAAAAGTGTGACTCGTCTTTCATGAATCCCTTACATTTAAAAACTGTGACTTTGAATTCGAAAGAAACATGGAGCATGTAAGTGAAATTTACGATCTACGGTTAGTTTTTGAGCAATAACCATGAATAGTTTTCGCGTTATTTCTTGTTTAGTAGAATGGTTAAAATACTCTTTCGGATTAAATTGCATAAATAAATTACGCTTGTTTTGTGCAATGTATTTGTCGCCGGTGAAAACGTATATGATTATCCAAATAGTTAGGTTTTCGTGTACTATTCTTTTTATAACTGCTGAACTTAACGTTAAGCTACTTACATTATTTACTTACTACAAAGCTCCACAATTTCATAATATTTTTTAAATAAGGGGTTTTGTGGAAACTACGTGCACACTAAGAGCCATATTCCTTACGAACTGACAATAAATGGAATACCATTTAAAATCAGGAAGTACTGAACAATCATTTGTCCTAGTTTGGGACTCCTTGCACGCTGGCAACCTTACAAAGATTAGAGCCTGAAACTTTCACGTATTATGGTGAGGACAATACCATTCGGGTACTGGGTTGAAATTCAATCGGACATAGTTTTAACTTTATTCCATTTTCGATATAACCGGATCTCCATCAGCCATCAGTGAGTTAGTGACATTATAGATAACGGCTCAACTGCTATATAATGTGGACTGTTGTATTATAACTAAGTGGCTAAACGGTAACGCACAAACGGCAAGATCTGAACGTCCTCAGTGTTATACCGCATGATATCGTAATCGGGTACGTCAAAGAAGTCTCGAACCATAATGTAACAACTATCAAGTCGTTTGGTTTTTCGTGATTCGCTAGCTGGTAACAATTTCATGACGGGAGCCAGCCATATTTTTTCAAATAATTGCAGCTATTTCCCCAGAAGGAGTCAGTCAAACACAACGTAGAACCTGGAACGTGCGTACACAGCCCCAAGTTATCACACGCCATTAGAACAGTGGAATGAAACTGTCAGGCCGAATCCCAGCATAGTAGATGTAATAACAGTATTAACAATGGTAGAAAAGGTTAAGCGTAGACAATATCATAAGAGAAAATATAGATTAGTGTGATGGTGAAAAAGCTCTATAGAGTAGTTTAGAAACTTAAAATTAAAGAGAAGACACCTGTGTCATTACGATCGATTCTGAGCCATTTCACACAGTCTTCAACCATTGGTTACAATATTCACGCAGACACCAACCACGTAGTCTGCACCTACCTACATGGGTCAGCCAAACAGTTAGTATCTTCATGGGATGATGCCATATCTTGGTTTGGTCTCTCCTAACTTTCTGCCGGTCACCATCCCGCATCGAAGTAGGCGTTGGACGGTCATACGTAATGCATATCCTAACCATCTGTGCCGATAATGTTTCACTACTTCATAAACGAATTTGCCATCCTTACCTAGTACCCTGGCTCTAACGTCAGAATTACCGACTCGGTGGTCCCAAAATATATTAACAATGGTCCGAGGACATCTATGGTAGGATACTAGTAAACTACAAATATTCTCTATTTTTAAAGGCCATTCTTCCCAGCCATAAAGTATAAGAGTGGATTGGTGCTCAGCTTACTCATTTTTAGTTGGCAAATAGTTGTCTCGCCCAGGACACACGCGATGTAAGTAGGTAAAGTCCAAGTGAATTCGTGCTCAGACTTCGTCAGACACCAACATACTAGGGATGATGAGACTTCCAATATAAGTGAAGTGATTTACATGCCCAACTAATTCACGTCCTGTCATTAGTTCAAGGACTGAGAAATCAGTCCTAAGACACCATCAAAATGGACAGAAAATTCCGATTGCCGTGATGAATCCATTGACTATTTCCTCACTAAACAAACGCTGCTTTATGATTTAAACATCTATAGGATTGGATCCTGTATAACTTAGCTCACTTTCAATAGGCGGATAATCTTCTAGCATTTGTACAAGTGTAGCTCGAAGTCAAACATATAAAAGTGAAACTGACTACTGAATTTTATTATAGTTTAAAACAAAAGCTGTTTACAACAATAAAACATCTGAAAACCTACCCTTTTTAAATACAACTTTTTTAGCTTTATGCTCTGTTTCTAAGTCGGCTGCTTTTACCCATAAGCGGACCGACTGAGGTAAATGACGTATAGCTTGAGCTACAACAGATTTTGCTTGTTCGGGTGGTACTAACCGTGCTGCTTCTAGCCAAATATCTTCTGATTTAGGGCATTCTTCACACCCACTAAGAATTAAGTTGCGCGCAACCTTTATTTCACAGAAAATTAAAGATGCTTATAAGCTATCCTGACAAAATAAAAGTTACCAGTACATAGTTTTAATCGCACAATCAAATCATGTGAAATCAATACGATGAGTTTAGAAAATCTCGCTTGTAAAGGAAAATAATATACTGATATAAATAATTATGTATGAATAAACTAGTTGTGTATGTATGTAAATAATATTAATATATAATCATTAACTAAGTGCTTAGTATGTTTGTAGTTTTGAACGCGATGTATTTATTAGATTACTTTTTTTCAAAGTTGAATTTCGGCGGACAGACGTGTTTCAATATAAACTTACACATAATCAGTCATGAAACTATAGATATCGTATGAACGAGTCTTATAGCTGTAGGATCAAGAGAGTTCATAAGGTAACTTGACCGAATTCAGCTACATTATGAGCTACATTTAATTCCAATTATTACCTATCTTTAATTAATGTAATGTAAGTTTCAGGTTTATTCTTGAAGGTATCTTCAGATAGTTGAGTATATAATCAAATAAAAATAAACTAATGACCTGAAATTAGTTTCAATTAAAAGTACACTTAAAAAGTGAAATTATAAGGGGCTCCGCCTAGGGCCCCCTAGGGCTACTGTCGGTTCCAAGTTCGGATAAAGGAGGAGGGTCAGGCATGGAGTTGGCGACCCCATCCCGTAGGAAACTAACCCGCTAAAGAAACGCTAACCAGAAAAAATAATTCAAACAATTTAAAATCTGCCCTGGGAGTTAGGTCTTCATTTAGAAGAGTTACGATGCCTCATGATGAAAGCCGAATTCCTTCGGAAGTCATAAGGCTGATGTCCCTCCTGACAACTAGAGCAACCATTTATTTAGGCACATGGAATGCTCATATAATGTGGGAGAACGGGAGAGTCTTTCAAATTTCCGCAGGAATGAAGAAATACAACCTGGAAGTGCTTGGAATCAGTGAAACACATACGCAAGTTGGACAACAACGACTAGCTTCAGCGGAGCTTCTGTTATACTTCGGCCATGAAGAAGAAAATGCCTCACATAGATAAGCAATTGCATTGATGCTATCCAAACAATCACAAAATGCACTTATAGGATGGGAATCTCATGGACCTAAGACCATCAAAGCATCCTTCAAAACAAAGAAAGAGGGCATTATAATGAACGTCATCCAATGCTATGCACCTACCTACGATTACAATGATGAAGTTAAAGACCAATTCTATGAGAGGCTGCAGTCAACCGTTGAGAAATGTCCAACAAAGGACCTGATAATTCTGACGAAAGACCTGAATGCCACGGTTGGAATGGACATCATGGGACGACATGGACTAGCAGAAAGAAACGAAAATGGTGAGAGATTTGCAAACCTATGTGTCTTCAATAAACTGGTCATATGCGGCACTATATTCCCAAATAAACGAGTACACAAAGCCACATGGACTTCATTGGGTCACACTACACAGGGCAAAATCGATCATATCTGCATCAATAAAAGGTTCAGGAAGACAATGGAAGGTGTGAGAACCAAAAGAAGACCTGATATAGCCTCAGATCGTCACGTGCTGGTTGCCAAGATGAAATTTAAGCTCAAGAAGCACTGAACAATGGGGCAGAAAACACCGCAAAAGTTTAATACAGACTTTCTTCGGGATACTAACAAACTCAACGAATTCAAGATAGCCATCAGCAATGTGCCAGAACTTTCACGAAATACTCAATTGATAGCAACTGGAAGGGGATCAAGGAGCCAATCACTTCAACATGTCATGAGGTTCTGGGCCACAAGAAGCACCACCACACCACCATCACTGTTGATACACTGGATATGACTCAAGAAAGGAGGAACAAGAATGCAGAAAAAAGTGCCAGCCGAACAAGAGCAGAGAAAACCAAGGCATAAGCTGAATACACACAAGTAAACAAGCAGATGAAGAGGAGCATGAGAACCGACAAACATAGATATGTGGAAGGTTTAGCGATGACAGTGGAAAAGGCTGCAAGAGAAGGAAACATGAGAATTGTATGATACAACAAAGGAACTCGCGGGAACTTGTTGTAAATTAGAACAACCAGTGAAAAGTAAGGAAGGCAAAGTAATCACCAACATTGAAGATCGATGAAACAGGTGGGTAGAACACATCAAAGAGCTCTTGAATCGACCAACCCTACTGAACCCACCCAACATCGAAGCAGCACCCACAGACCTCCCAATCGATGTTGACCCACCAACAATTGAAGAGATCAGCATAACCATCAAACAAACCAAGAGCGGCAAAGCAGCGGGACCAGACAACATCCCAGCAGAGGCAATGAAGGCGGATGTAGCAGTAACTGCAGAGACACTTCACATTTTTATTTATTTACTTATTTTAACAAACAGTTATTGGTACAAGGAGGCACCAAACACATATGCGCCACACAGATTTCTTTTGATATGTATGAAGGCTGTGATAATGCCCGGGTGCTCAAACCGAAGAAGTTGAAGAACAAGTACCAACAAACTGGAAAGGACACCTGATTAAGATAGCAAAGAAGGGCGATCTCAGCAACTGTGATAACTACGGAGGCATTACTCTTCTCTCAATACCAGGAAATCTTCAACAGGGTATTGTTAAACAGAACGAAGGGCTCCGTAGATGCCCAACTTCGAGACCAACAGGCTGGATTCTGTAAGGATCGATCGTATACAGACCAAATCACAACAGTACGGATCATTGTGGAACAATCAACTGAATGGGATTCATCACTATACATCAACTTCATTCACTACGAGAAAGCATTTGATAGCGTGAACACGACAACATCATGGAGGCCTCTTCGACAATACGGCGTGCCTGAGATAATTGACATCATACGGAATTCCTATGATGGGTTAAACTGCAGACTCGTTCGAAGTAAAGTCCAGTATCAGGCAAGGTTGCTTACTCTCACCCATTCTCGTTCTCCTAGTGATCGACTGGGTCATGAAGACGTCAAAATCTGAAGGGAAGCATGGGATACAGTGGACATCTAGGGTGCAGCTGGACGATCTAGACTTCGCGGATTATCTGGCTCTTCTATCGCAAACGCAACAACAAATGCAGGAGAATATAACCACTGTAGTATCAGAATCAGCAGCAGTAGGTCTCAATATACACAAAGGGAAAAGCAAGATTCCCCGACACAACACAGTATGCACCAAACCAATCACACTTGACGGAGAAGCTTTGGGAGGTGTAAAAACCTTTACATATCTGGGCAACATGATTGATGAAAACGGTGGATTTTATGCAGGCCTGAAGGCGCGGATCGGAAAAGCAAGAACAGCATATTTACAACTGAAGAACATCTGGAACTCAAAACAACTGTCAACCAACACCAAGGTCAGGACTTTCAATACTTATGTCAAGACAGTTCTACTGTATGGGCGGAAACCTGGAGAACTACGAAAGCCATCATCCAGAAGATACAGGTGTTTATTAACAGTTGTCTATACAAAATATTTCGGATCCGTTGGCCGGACACTATTAGCAACGACCTGCTATGGGAGAGAACAAACCAGAACCCAGTGGAGGAAGAAGAGATGGAAGTGGATAGGACACACATTGAGGAAAGCACCCAACTACGTCACAAGACAAGCCCTCACATGAAATCCTCAAGGCCAAAGGAGAAGAGGAAGACAAAAGGACATTTTACGCCAGGAAATGGAGATAGACATGAGAAAAATGGACAAGAATTGGATGGAACTAGGAAAGAAGGCCCAGGACAGAGTGTGTTGGAGAATGCTGATCGGCGGCCTATGCTCCATTGGGAGTAACAGGCGTAAGTAAGTGCTGTGAGACGGAAATCCGTGGGTAAGGTGAGGTGTGCATTTTTAGGGTCGACCTTTTCTAACCCCACCCCTCCTTGTGGGAAGGCAGCATCGCTGTCATGCTGGTTGTCTGAAGGAAACACCTTACTGCTGTCACACCTCTGTACAGTCAGCAGTACGACTTCGCCTTCGGACCTTGGGTTTGTTGCTTTTAGTCTTACCGCTCTTCAACCGACCTGTCTGACATGGTAGGACCTTGAGGAACGGTTGTTCCAGCCAGTATAGCTCGGTTGCTTCATCACGATAGGCAAGCCCGACCACCACGTCAAGGTAGCAACAACGGTCGGGTTTTAAGTATTAGTTTTGTAGTAATAAACTCTGACTAAAACCTACGTATCTGAACTTCATCAAGCAATTTATTTTACCATCAACTTTATTAAGCAGGTAGGTTAAAACTCGATCTACTTTAGTGGTCACATTGTGAGATTAGCCAATAGAAGTACGTCAGCACCTATAACAAGACAATATGAAAATGGTTCTTTCTAGCTTGGATCCAATGGGTTTCACTTATTTCGAGCACCGCCAAGTTGTATCACTTCATTTCTCCAGCTATTCGATTGGTTCTCCCGGTCTGTCACATTGTTTAGACATTCCATGTAAATATGTTAATTGTTGAGCTGGTTGTTGTAATGAATAGCAGTTGGGAACAACTGGGCAGAAGAGCCCAGGACAGAGTTGCTTGAAGAAACCTGGTTAGCGCCATATGCTCCACGAAGGGTAACAGGCGTACGTAAGTAAGTAATGAAAATAGTTACTACATAATGGTCGATTGATAAAAATGTTTAGTGCTAAGTAAGACCCCTTGAGGACTAAACAGCTCAGTGATTACATTTATATTTTTAATGTTGGATGAATTGGGCTCAAGCTCATGTGGTATCGTACAGAAGACTACATGAACATCAAACTGAAAACTGTCAGCAAATATATCTCAATTCTACAGCTTAATAAGTTTTCAGGTCAACTTGAATATAATTGAGCGTCCATATTTTTTTATTAAATTCATTCTAACTAACGCTTCTTATCGGTATTTTTGCTTGAAATAAACCAATGTTTCGTTAAAATACCTGTTATCTAGTTTAAAATATGGATCAAACACCAAGGTTTACAGAATGTAGTACAGATTGCTTTGATGTCAAGTTTCCTATAATGAACAATGTAATTTCGAGATTTCCAAAGACATTAGAGATGGCATCAGCAGCGACAATTTGAATGAAAGCTCTCGAAAATTGGAGAGGTGGTTTGGTGCTACAGGTTTGAACCCTGCTTTGTTTACTTTGTTTTGGGGAAACAAGTAGTATCTCTAACCACATAAAAATCTCCCTTAAACTGAATAAAAAACTTAGTCGATTGATGGGTTATGTTATTCACCCAATCTAGGATGACAGAATATGAGGTAAAACGTGATCTGGTCAGTACACCATCTGATGAGTTACTGAAATTGTCCACTGACCAAGTCTCTATAGAATATACCACATTAATTACATAACAAAATGATACATGTAACAAGTTAAGTATATGGAAGTTTATAAAATGGCTAAATATTAGATTGGTTTATGACTAAACTAACCTGGAGTTTACCAGCTATTTCTTCTAAACGAGCAGATGCAATCCAAGCAGGAGCATGTTTAGGATTAGTTTCGCGTACCGATTTTAATAAGAGTCGAGCTTTTTTCATGTCGTTTATATCACCACCATGTTGAGGAATCATGGACTGTAGATCAGTCAAATACCCTTTGGGATCAACAACAGTTTGTCCTGATACACTATCAGAAACCTAGTTACAAATGGATTGAAATAAGTTATAAGGCATCACAACAAGTCGTAATCAGCATAGAGCCTAGCAAAAGTCTGTATCATTCTAAGTACCTATATCACATCACCACAGTGAAGGGAAATCAACAAAATGAAAAGCGATGAAGTCTAAGTAAAGGTAAGAAGGATCAAACATTGGAGAATACGGTTCGAAAAAGATCTGTATTCGAGAAACGGAAAACATGAAATAATATTGAAGTTTGTGATCTAAGGTGAGACAAAGAGTGATTGTATCTAGGCCACTGTGACCGATTGTGAGCTACTTTATTTAACGTTTCAAACCACTGATTGCGATTATCGCGCAAACCCTAGCCAGATAGTCCTTACCTACCAATATTTCTTAGATCAACATTAAATGACTTCATGGACAAGTGGCATGTTTTGGTTTAGTCACCTCTGGTTGTCTTCCAACTCCGACACCAGCTAACACTGGGTGGCGATGTAGTTGGTTGCTAAGCATACGTAACACAACCCAAAAACACCAGTCACTCAAAACTCCCAGTCTCATCAACTGGTTTTCCCTATTCGCCTACTATCTGTCTATAATGGATTCAAAGCATTACTTAAGACTGTTAACCAATGTCTGCAAAGAACGAAGATCAATGGAAAGTACAAAAACAATTCTTCGGTTCGGGCACCCGAGCAGTATCACAGCCTACACACAAATCAAGTGACTTGTGTGGCGCATATGTATTTTGTGCCCTTTTGTACCAATATTTACGTGTTCAAGCGAACAAATAAATAAAATTCCTAGTATACTTTTTTATAAATTATTTCTATAAAGTATGTGACAATACGCAGACATACAGAAATTACGTAATGTGTTTAAAAAACTAGTGGTGCTAGTTTCCTACCAGTGTAACGGCCGCAATAACCTTATCATTGGTGAAATAAATACATGAATATTAGTACTTGCGAGTAAGCGCAACTGTTCTTGGCGTGTAAGGTTATGTGCTTCACGGAAAGATTGTACTTTTGTGTTCATTTTTGTGGAACTTATTTGTTGATATACCCAGCTAATGAACTCAGTGGCAAGTACTGTGCATTTCGGACTACACGGCTATAGTTTGGTATTACTGAAGATTTTAAAATAGATAAAGTTAAGAATGAAATGAAAATTCTTAGTGGATAATAGAAAGAAATGTACCTGTGTCAGCTTAATATCCATCAAAGAAGTACGCGCTTCACCAATTTTCTTCATATCAATATCCATCTGAGCTGTTTGTGAAGTAAACGGTGTAGTTAAGCCTCCTAAACTTTGTTCAATTACATCTACAGAAACATTGGTCTAAAACAGAAGAGTTGAAGTAGAATTATAAGATGACTCACTTGACCATCAGACAAGCCTTTTGCAATTATGCTATCTGGGATCGGAGTAAAACGTTCATATCTAGGGTTTCTTTGCTTCCTATTTCGTGAATCGCCAACTTCCGGTAAAGCATTCCATTCACTTTCAGATACACTCGCTAAATCACGCTTCAAATCCATGAACTGCTGTTGAATCTTTGGTCTTTCACGACGATACTTTTCGATCTCTTCACGAAAACGTTTTTCTCTGTACTCCCGCCGTCTTTCATCCATCCTATCATCAATAGAAGCATAAATAGCATCTGCTTCTTGATCATCCTTCTCATAAGGATCTTTTGCACACAAACTACCACCATAGCCTGTAAACTAGATGCAAAATAATAAAAAAGATCCTGTTTAACCTAAAGACGGATACATATCATAAATATGGAGTATTAGGCTAATAGACAGGTTTCACCTAGTGTCACACTAGTAAATAAACGTGTGGCTCAGGAACAGGTGGAATGGGAGTGTCGAATATACGATCTGTTAACATCTTACTATATCAAAAGCGTAATCACTTACCTAATGGGTGAGTTTTATTTCATGGCATTATTTTGCACTTTTTACTACTGAGAATTAGTTGGATTGAGTCAAACACACTAGGTCGTCAACACCATTTTATCATTATTATACGCCCAACCCTTTATTATTTATCACGAGAAACTCATTATTTCTCGGGAACTGTGAAATTCTGAATAAGGGAAAACTTGAAAAAGTTCTGAATAAACGTGTATATTAATTTCTCTTTTATTCGACAAGTCGTTTAACTTTAAAGTTGACTTCGATAACTCCAAAAAATATTCAGCGAAATCATTTATTGTATTGTAAACTACACAATTATTTTTTCACGAAATGCTCTCACATGGCCACGCGTATATAGCCTCTGCCAGGACGAAAAGCGAATGTCCGGCGCTTTAACCCGGTTGGTGGGCACAGAGAGTCTACCTAAGGGAGTCGGAAAACCCTGGTTCCAAACCAATGGTGCACGTGAGATCCAGTGTCCTAAGTGAACAAACGGCGTATAAACCAGTCGTTGGTCACCGGCTACCATGGGACTGCATCGCCACACGATGCTCCACTGCCTTGTGGATCAGACCTTTAGGTCGAAGGCTTCGGGTGTGGCTACCTAAGGAAACCACCTGCTTCGGTTTGGGCACCCGTGCAGTATCCCAGCCCTCACACATATCAAATGAGATTTGTGTGGCGCATATGTATCTGGTGCACCTTTGTACCAGTATTTGTGTTCAAATAAATACATTTTTTTCTACGCAATTACTTCAGAAATATACAAATTTCATATGAGTCGAAAAGTACAGAAACAGTTGAGGGGATTTCAAATAAATAGAGGTGAGAGTGAAATATGGTTTAAGAATACAAATTAAATTTATTGGCTACAAAAACACTTTTCTCCTGTGAAGTGCAGTTATAATGTAAAACTTGATAGTGCTTCATTTTACGAAGCTTTAGCAAATGGAATGAATATAAATAATTAAACAGGATTAAAGACCGAGTGCCCAGGTCAATTAGCTGTAGAAAATGAAAGTGGGATTAATGTGAGACACTGAAAAATAAGTTAGAAAGGACTAACTGATAAACACCGGTTAACGATATCTAGGAAGCCAGATTTTCAATGGGTATCGTTTGGTTTTACTTGTATCTTACTTTAACTAGTAAGCCTAGTACAAGTGTAGAGTTTTTGTTTACGCGACATTTTGAAGGAATTCAGAGTCTAACTCCTACCTTATAATGGTGATAATAAACATTCTCCTAAATTTCAATAACTCCTTAAAGCCAAACATCTCGAATAAGAACTTTCGTCTAAATTTGAACGAATAGTTTCACATCTCGAAGTTTTCAAAACTTGATATTTTCAACACCTACATTTCGACCAACAGAATAACTCATAAAATAGCATTATCAAACAATTATTGAGTGCAAGTTACATTTGAATCATAAGCGGAGGCAAAATATTTGATATTTTCTGCTGCGTACAGATATTCATATAGCTACAAATTGTCCTTATTTTTCTTATGTATAGAAATAATGACGGAAACAACCATATGTAGAACATTACAAAAAGTATTCCAAAACTATAACCGACAGATCTTTACCTCATCATAATTTGAATCGTTTAAGTCCTCCTCTTCCTCTTCCTGCTCCTTTCGACGTTTAGATGGAGCGACATGTCGTTCATCTGAAACATCATTAGCTTCTCGGGCTGGACCAATATCAGATCTTGTAGTAAACGCCACAGCACCACGTCCTATACCAGCAGCATATCCCAAGGGTGCTGGAGTCCAATAAACTCCTTTCGCTTTTTAGTCACTAGAGTTTGGACTGACATTTTCACCTAGTGTTCCAGTATCTGTCATAAAACATAGGAAACTCGAATGTTCTACAATTTTAAATGTTACTGAAACAAACCAGAATGGTGTGTTAAAAAATGTGGTTGGCCAGTGAGCGAAGTTGGACGTCCAGCTATACTAAATCAAACTGTTTTGTCTATAGAAATGATCCTACTCTGATTTTACTAGTTTTTAACCGCTTGTACATCGTGTTTATAAAATCTCGGTAGATCAAATCTAGTTCTTAATTATTGGTCGGATAATTGATCAATTTATGTGCCACGTGATCTGGTATCGTGGTCCAGTATTAGATTCCTTTCATTGTCAAAAAACAACCAACTCTACTGTTAACAAGGTACATAGCAAAATTACGCAGATAAGTTTACTCGTATAATCGTAAGAAGGATAGAACTTGGTTACAATTAATTACTCAAACCATGTAGTACCAGGAAGGTGAAATAAGTTCTTGTCTTGAACCCGAGTATTGTAACTCTTATCCGGTTGAAGTGAATTGCATACTGGTGATAATTTCCTGACAAAAACCGTCCATATCTCGTATTGCAGCGCTTGAATGAATAGCTAAATTAGGAGTTCGTTAGACAGTCCCAAACATAGCGGAAGAGAACGATGGATACGATGAGAACTCGAGAGGGACTTTAGAGGCTCTGTGTTCTAGGGTGAATGATATAAGTGCTAGACTTCCCTAGATAACAGAAGTACATAATTTAAACAGAAGTGAGTTATTAGTATTTTACCACAAGTAATTGTTACACCCTATTGACATGGAGTCTAATTGATTACTGTCTATAGCTTTGCTGTCACTGATTATAAATAAAACACCCCGGTACTTCTTGTATGCAAAGTGAGTTGTAAACATACTTCTATACAGGAAGTTGTGAATTTGCTCCCAAGTTCTCCTTAGATTTTAGGAATCTCTTAGCAAAACATTCACTCATCTTATTCCTGTCTAAACTTTAAGTTTGTTTTGACTAGCCTTATTCGGACTAAGTTGATGTATAGTGTCCTAAGTGCCATTTGAAGCCGTTCTGGGAACATAATTTACATAATTCAATCCAGATGGGAACAACGAGAAATTTGAAAGCTGGGATATGTATATAGCTTAAGTTTGTTATATTTTTCACTAACATAAGAAAACGGGAACAGTCAAAGGAAATATTTAGTTACTGAGAACTAAGGAAGCGACAAAAAGACGGATGAAAGTGTAGAAACTAATGTATAAAGTATTACTTTGATTGAAAATTAACTAAAGATATATATTGGACATGTTTTGTAATGCTGAGACACTCGACGTATAGTAGCACATACTGGACCAGAATTCTGGGGAATGGCTTAAACCAGACTGAGTTTTAACGCCTCTAAATGAAATACGTAAGGGGAAATAGTTCGTGGGAAATTCAACTACGGTGAAAAGTGAAAACAATTTGAACATATAGGAGCAATAGAAAGTCAGTTAGGTGGGAACATCACTGTTTAAGTAAAAACAAGAAATAAAGAAATTTGTTTAGACCCTCGTCTACATACTAATGAGTTACATCGTATTTATCCCTCAACAATTTTCAAGTCCAAATCTTTTTTACCATATGTGCCGAATAGACACTGAAATGACTAGACATGTAAAACATAGATGTTTAATTACAGTATATTAGAACTTCTAAAATAGAATCGACATACGTTAAGGGCACTATCGCGGCTAACAGTGAGTCTCACGTAGCGTTCCTTTCTTATCACAGCGCCTTTAAGGTGTATGCTCAATGCTGATTCAAGTGATTCTGAACGGAATAGAAGCTTTCACTTAACGAGCTTCCGTATCTAGTAGCAGTGCCTCGCCGATGCCTCCAATTAGGAACCTAGGTATATTAACGATGGAAGAAGAGAAAGCAAAAAGTTGGTAAATCATAGTGAGATAAAGACCTCAGTCCTTAAGAATATGTCAAGCTTTCTCGTGAAGGACTCCTGGGAAGTAGTTTAGACTAGCCCAAACGGCAGTGAATTCCAACATTCGACTACTCTTAAGGAGTAGAAGGTGTGTCTACAGTTCGTTCTTCTGTGTTATGTCTCTAGTTCCTGGGTGTTACCCTTTAGGTTTGTGTTGGAACTAGCCTAGCTGTTGGAGTTTGTTGATAAAATATATATAGTTTACTCTATTAAAAGCTTTGGAGAAGCCTAGGTATATGACGTCCAACTTCCCCTTGCGATCAAGGATGATTTTCTGTCCACGGCGGTCAGCAGATTGGTTATACAAAAGTGACCTTTTCTGAAACTTTTAGTGGCCCGTTTGATCTAACTTCTGTTTAGATCGTACGAATGTTTGTCATCTCCTATTCTCGTATATAATCGTCGACTTAAATCGCGTTATCCAATAACGGAATTAAATAAGTCGAATAACGAGAATTGATTTGTGAATACATATATTTTGTACATGAAGCGAATGAAACAGAGCCAAGCAAACGACACGCAGGGAAGATGGCTGGGAAGCCAACTCCATTTTAGTCGAGCGTTACTCAATATTTATAGACAGACAAAATAAAGCTACAGACATGTGATGAGCCATGGGACATGAAGTGTACACACATATACGCTCATATATAAAAACAGTCAAGACTGATAAGTGAATAATTGACAAGGTCAAAATATAACTCAAGTAGAATGAATAAAATGGAATGTCCGAAAACTAGAGTATAAGATATATGGGCTTAAAATAATTACTGACACTACAAACTGTACCGTTGGGGTGAAAAGAGGTTTATGGATATTAAGTGGTCACGTAGACCGTCGCATATCAGAGAACATCACGCTAAGCTGTGTTGCCAAGATTGAAGCTGCTCATTTCTATATAGCAGAATTACCCACATCACCAGCTAGAATAGAGAAAATGAATTTTTTTCTGTATCTTGGTGGAAAAGAATAATCACGAATCTTTCTTAACTGAAATAGTTCTGATGCGTTGGTCAACTTTTCTGTGTTTATATTTCACTAGTGAATGCATTCCAAATGATTCAAATGGTTGTGAATAGAATATGAGAGGCCTTCATTTACCGAGCTTTCGTATCTAGTAGCATTCAATCAGGACCTAGTCACATTGAACAAGAAAAAGACAGATTTTTGGAAATTAAAACGAGATAATGTACAAATCCCTTATGAAGGTAGTAAATTTCCTCCTTAAACACATCTGAAACCTGACTTCATCATTTCCCCAGTGGCGAATTCCAAGACTTAATAGATCATAACGAATAGAAGGCGAGAATTTCTTACAGTTTGCTGTGTTTTACTTCCCATTTCTGAGTGCTTTCCCATAAGACCATGTTGCAAATGAACGTGAGAACGTATTTCAGATATCATTGAGAGCTTAAGACACTGTAATTCGTCAAAATGTCGCCCCTGAGTTGGATTTATTGTAATGGATGAAGATCTAGAGATTGAAGGAGTTCTCCAAAGCTTAACATCCTCAGCAAAAGCTAGTACGTGGCGAGGAAATTAATTCAAACGGATTAATGGAGGTAGGGTTTTGATAATGAACCCTCTGAGAACACACCGATACATTTTATTGCCTGTGAAAGTGTGAAGCTTAGTCTTACGTTATAAAGACGATTACAAATAAAAGATTCAAACCAGTCATTCGATCCCGACTTGATGCCTAGTGACTCAAGCCAAATTATAAGACTCATTGGATTGATTTTACCAAGAGCCACGATATATGACATCCACTTCACCAATACGATTGAGAGTCGTGGCTAATTTTCCATCACAGTCTAACGATTCATGACCCATGAGTACCCAATCCTGAAACGATACTGTCGTTGGTAAAAGAAATTTTAGCTTTGTACACGGTCACTTAGGCGGAAGTAAATCAGGGGTTCCCTGACCTTTGAGTGTATTTAAACAGGAGCCTCTGCCCAGCAGATTGGTATGATGTCTGCCTGCCACCATTTGTTTGGGACCACGCTACGCTAAGCAGTGGGAACAATACATTAGGACTTGGCGCTAAATCTGAAGCCCACTTCCTTAATGTGGCAGACTAAACCGTATACTAAATAAGATCTTTGGATTAGAGAAAAACCTGTCAGTCAGCTTACCAGTGCCTATCTTCCAGGGGGTGACGCGAGTGGGCTACTCAACTCCGTGTCTGCAGTGTATGATATTCCGAAGCCCGTCCGACTACCAGGTGCATTCTCATCTGCCACTCGAGCAATCGTAAGCCTAAAAATTAGATGAGAAACCACTCGAGGACAAACCGAGCAGAAACACAACCAACTAAGCCCGAAGCGTTACTTCACTGCTCTCGTCAGATAAGCAGATACAAAAAACTGCATGGTTATATGAGCATAATATTCCACTTTCTCATAAGCGTCCGGTCTCAGTAAACATATTGGCGATCCGAGGGGGAACGGATGAGTTATGGGCACTTTGTAAGCAGATATTTATCAAAGCAGTATCCCACAGGGGATAATATTATAAGCCATCCAGAAGTTAGATTCATCAATTAACTCTGTCAAATCCCACCTCGGGTTTGTGTGATTATCTCTTCGAAACCACTGACGAGGGATTAAAACTGAATATCGGTGGGCGAAACCAACATTCATATTCCCTAAAGTCAGCCGGAAACTAGGTTATTCTCTGTGTTAAAGGTTCCCCTGACATATTAGTTAAAGAGTTATCGCTATATATATATATATATATATATATATATATATATACCTGTAGTTGTTGGTAGAATAAGTCTGCTGTACTACGACAATACCCATGTGTTTCAGGACACTATTTATCAACATAATGTTCGCTTACTTGTAGCGTTGACCTATTCCTAATGGTAAAAAGTATGATACACTCAGATATATTGTGTCTAACAGGACCGGTTTGCATAGAAAATTTGTTTCGGATTAGTGGTTTCACTATGTAATAGTCACAAACGTAGTTGGCCGCAGCATTAGCTCACTTCTACGTACGATGTGTTTCTTTAAGTCCTTCTGAGTACCTTTATTACTCTTCATCAAATACAGCCGAATGGT